CTTGAAATGGGTATCTTTGAGTTCACCGTATTTCGAGTTTGTTGAGCTTGGATGTCATTGTTCTTATCTTTAATCAGTTTGGAGGTGTTTTCAGCCATTATTTCTGTATTCTCTCTGACCCTTTCTCTCTTCTTCTTCTTCTTCTTTTGGAATACCCACACGTGTGTGTGTGCTGGTCCAATGGAAGGTATTCCACAGATCCTTAAACTTGATTTCACTTCAGCCTCTTTTCTTTCTGTTCCTCAAACTCAACTTCAGTTGTCCTTCCTTTAAATTATGATTCTTCTGCCTACTCCAATTTTCCTTTGAATCCCTTTAGTAAATTATTTTAAATAAATTGTATTTATTTGAGAGAGAGAGAGAGACATGACAGAGATCTTCCACCCTGGTTCATTCCCCAAATGCCCACAACACCCAGGGCCAGGTCAGGCTAAAGCCGGGGGCCTGGAACTCAATCTGCACCTTCCATATGGCTAGCAGGGACTCAAGTAGTTGTGCCATCACCTGCTGCCTCCCCAGGGCACACATCAGAAGAAAGCTGGATCAGAAGTGGAGGTGGAACTCAAAGCCAGGCAGCATGGTATGGGATGTAAGTATCCCAACAGTGTCTTAACTGGAGCGCCAAATGCCCACTGCTTTTATTCAGATTTTTTTTTTTTTTTTTAAGGATTTATTTATTTGAAAGGCAGAGTTACACAGAGAGAGGAGGAGAGGCAGAGAGAGAAAGAGAGGTCTTCCATCCACTGGTTCACTCCCCAAATGGCTACAACGGCTGCGGCTGCACTGATCTGAAGCCAGGAGCCTCCTCCAGGTCTCCCACATGGGTGCAGGGGCCCAAGGACTTGAGCCATCTTCCACTGCTTTCCTAAGCCGTAACAGAGAGCTGGATCGGAAGTGGAACAGCCGGGACTTGAACTGGCACCCACATGGGATGCCAGCACTGCAAGTGGCAGCCTTACACGCTATGCCACAATGCCCAGGCCCTCCCTTTTATTGATTTTTAAATTTTAGTTATTGTAGTTTTTAGCTGCAGAATTTCTTTTGTTTTGTTTTTAAGTGCTCTTTATTGATAGTCCCATTTAATTTAAGTGTCCTTTTCTTGACATCTTCCTTTAGTTCTTGGAGCATTTTTAAGATAATTATTCTAATTCTCTTTGTCTAGTAGATCTGCCATAGGCTCTCTTCAGGGACAGTTCTGTTTTGTTTTGTTTTAATGAATGGAACATAGTTTCCTCCCTTTTGTGTGCTTTACGACATTTTTTGTTGTTGAAAACTGGCCATTCTGATCTGATTAAGTCTGGATATCAGATTCTTCCCCTTTCCCAGTGTTTTCTGTTTAATGTTGTTATTCTGAGTGTTGTAGGCTGTTTATGTGCCAAGGATCAGCCTGAAGTGTAAACTTAAGATTTACTCGGGCCTTTTCTGAAACTGTGCCTTTCTTTGGTGTGCATGGTCACTTTCCAGTTTTCCCTGCATATGCGATTGTCTTTTAACATCCTGACCTTTTATATTGGCTCCAGAATCGGGAGAAAGAGAAGATGAAGAGCATAGATGAAGGAATTAGCCCACTAACCCCTGGCGGTCAGCTCCGTTCCTTCAGTGCCATTTCTCCTTTGCCTAACCTTTTGACTTCAGAAGCAGCAGTCAGGGCACAGCTTCCTGGTTTTTGGAGAATGGATCCTTTTTGCCCTTTCTGACTGTTGCAGGCTGCACATCAGCTACTCCAGAAACATGGGAATGTATATAGCTGAGGGAGGGCTAGAGCTAGGTAGCTGCTACCATACTAAAAGCTGAAATTGGCAGAAATCAGCCCTAACTTACCACCATCCAGACCTCCTCCAGGGAACTGCAGGCCTTCAATAGACTCTAGAGTTCCAGAATAGTTAGTCAGAGGTGTTCTGCTTGCACAGTTATGGAAACAGGAGACTGATTCCTGACGTCTTACTCCATTAGCTTTCCAGAATTCTATCTACTCAGATTGTTTTCTTTTTAAATTGTCTATTTATTTGAAAGGCAGAGAGAAATCCTCTGGTTCACTCCCCAGATTCCCACAATAGTCAGGACTGAGCCAGGCTGAAGGTGAGAACTCAATCTGGGTCTCCTGCGTGGGTGACAGAGACCCAGCTGCTTGAGCCGCCGGCTGATTGCCAGGGTGTGATCAGCAGGTAAGCTGGGATTGGGAGCAAGCTGAGATGTGACCCTGAGTACTCTGATGAGGGATGCAGGCATCCCAAGTGATGTCTTAACCAAACACCTGTCCCTCTACTCGGAAGTTTTTTTTAAGATTTATTTAATTTATTTGAAAGGCAGAGTTACAGAGAGGCAGAGACAGAGAGAGGCCATCCATCTGCTGATTCACTCCCCAAATGACCACAACGGCAGGAACTAGGCTGATCTGAAGCCAGGAGCTTCTTCCAGGTCTCTCACGTAGGTGCAGGGACCCAAGGGCTTGGACCATCTTCTTTTTCTTTTTTTTTATTTAATAAATGTGAATTTACAAAGTGCAACTTTTGTATTGTTGTGGCTCCCCCCCACAGCCTCCCTCCCTCCCGCAGCCCTCCCCTCTCTCACTCCTTCTCCCATCCCGCCCTTCATTGAGTTTCATTTTCAATTACCTTCATATACAGAAGATCAATTTAGTGTATACTAAGCAAGGATTTCAACAGGCTGCACTCACACAACCGCACAAGGTATAGGGTAGTGTTCAACAAGTAGTGTTGTTTTTAAGTTTCATAGTAAAACACATTAAGGACAGAGATCCTACGTGGGGAGCCTGTACCCAGTGACTCCCGTTGTTGATTTAACAATTGACACTCTTATTCATGACGTCAGCAATCACCCGAGGCTCTTGCCATGAGCTGTCTAGGCTATGGAAGCCCCTTGAGTTCACCGACTCTGAACTTGTTTAGTCAAGGCCGTATCACAGTGGAGGTTCCTTCCTCCCTTCGGAGAAAGGCGCCTCCCTCCTTGATGGCCTGTTCCTTCTGCTGGGGTCTTGTTCACCAGGATCTTTTATTTAGGTTGTTTTTGCCACCGTGTCATGGCTTTCCATGCCTGTGAGACTCCCATGGGCCTTCTGGCCAGATCCGAAGCCCCAAGGGTTGATTCTGAGGCCGCGGTGCTGTTTGGGGCGTTTGCCATTCTATGAGTCTGCTGTGTGTCATGCTTCCCCCGCAGGATCATTCTCTCCCTTTTAATTCTATCCTTCATTGTTTGCTTACACTGGTCTTATTTGTGAAATCTCTTCGACACTTACTCTATCTTTTTGATCAGTTATGTACTTACACTTATCACTTTACCAAGTGCGCTGACATTGGTACATGCCTCCTTGATAAGATTGAGTTGAAATCCCCTGGCACATTTCTAGTTCCACCATTGGAGGTTAGTCCGAGTGAGCATGTGCCGACCTATATATCTCCTCTCTCTCTCATTCCCACTCCTATATTTAACAGAGATCACTTTTCTGTTAATTTTAAACGCCTAAGAATGATTGTGTATTGATTACAGAGTTCAACCTGTGGTATTAAGTAAAACAAACAGAGCAACAACAACAACAAAAAATACTTAAAGGAAAAAAATAGTAAGTTGTTCCTCAACAGTCTAGACAAGGGGTGACCATGTCATTGTCTCTCATAGTGTTGGACCATCTACTGCTTTCCCAGGCCATTGCAGAGAGTAGGATCGGAAGTAGAGCAGCTGGGACTTGAACTGGTGCATATGGGATTCCAGCACTGCAGGCAGCGGCTTTACCTGCTGCGCCACAGTGCTGGCCCCTCTACTCAGAATTTGAAGTAATTATGTATCTCAAGTGAGTGAGGATATAATTTATATTTCTCAGATGCAGTAAGTAGCCTGCTTCTCAGGAGTAGCTTTTCCGATGTGGCTGAGCTGGGGCAGGCCTTCGAATGTGCTAACAGGTGCCTGAGGAGCAGTCTCCATCTCTCTGTGTCTCCATCACACTCTGGCTTGTGGCAACAGTGTTGTGGAAAGTAGAGCACTTCTAATCATTCCCTGCCAGACCACTGTTAAGATCAGCTCCTCCCCTATTCCAGCTCCTCTGGCAACTCTGGGGCTCCCTAACTTGCTGTGTGTGTGTCATTCATACCTTCCTGACTTCCTGATAAAGCAGATAATGGGAGACAAGCATGTCTGGATTCAGCCCCAGACCTTAGGATGAGGCATTGAGTGTTAGTGTGAATCTTACATAGTTAGGAGAAAGTATTGGAGAGAATGTGAAGCAATAGGGATATTTTGCTGATAAAAGTGAGTTGGAGAACAATTTGGCCTTACCTAGCTAGTTAAGTCGGGAGATCTGTGTACTCTGCAACCCAGTGTCAGTGTGCCTGTCCACAGGTCCACATGGAGAAACTTTAGAAGAGTGCCTAGTGGGCTGATGTTGGGTAACAGGTAAAGCCACCACCTTTGATGCCAGCATCCCATATGGGTGCCAGTTCTGGTCCTGGCAGATCTTCTGATCCAGCTCCCTGTTAATGGCCTAGGAAATGCTGTGGAAGATGGCCCAATTATTTGGGCCCCTGCCACCCACATGGGAAATCAGGATGAAGCTTCTGGCTTCAGCCTGGCCCAGTCCTGTCTGTTGTGGTCATCTGGGGAGTGAAGCAGCAGATGGAAGACCTCTCTTTGTGTCTCTCCCTCTTTCTCTAGAACTCTGACTTTGAAATATAATAAAAACTAATCTTTAAAAAGCAAAACAGGCAGAAGAGAGTAAAGCTATTGTTTGGGTTATGTATGTGTGCAGTCCAAGTTAAAGGATGTGTCCTAGATCTTTCAGCCCCTGAATGACAGCCGTCACTCCTGGGCGATAGCTGTGCCCTGGTGGCTTCCCCAGTGTTGCAGGTGGGGACATGGAGTGCCCCTATCTAATTCTTTCCTTTGTTTTTGTATGTCTGAATTGTCACATGCTTCTTAAGTGATCTTAAAAGAATATCTTAAGTATTTCCTGTGAATTTATGTTGATATCTAACTTTTTAAAATTCTAGGTAGACAGACTGGAAGTCGTCAACAAGCGTTTTGTTCGAGTGACCTTTACACCAGGAAAAACTCCGGTTGATGGGGTAACTCATTTTATTAATTGATATGAATTAGTTACAAATTAACTTTCCAGATTTGAAATGGGAAAGGAAATGTCCCTCACGTTGTAGTAGACACATACACTGGATGTGCTTGTGTGATGCTCACCAGCCTAGTGAACATGTGAACACAGTGTGTTAGTGATGTGATTCGGGGCAGTGTTTTGTTTTTGGTAATCATTTCAGCTGTACATATAGGAAACAGTGAATAAAATCTGAGTGTTCAGTATTCCAGAACAGTCTGATTTTTCATGACTATGAGACAGTTTGGTTAAGCAAAAAATGTTGCAATCTTATGTTTTAAAACAGCTCTATTCTAGTCACTTTAAGAAACATTCTGATCACCTGTCTCCCAACCCTTTTGTGATATTATTTCAATTTCCATTTGTTTTGCTGTTTTAAAGACAATTTGTATTTCTTTTCTAACTGGTTTAGGCTGTACTTCAGGGACCCCAGACCAAGTTGAATGCATTGAGGGGTTCATGGGGGAGGGAGAGGCACCACTTCCGGGTGGTATCCGGTCCTCCCTTGACATCTGCCTTTGTCCCCTCCCCCAGACTGGTGTTCTACAGTCCTGCTGGCTTCCAGGGCCAGACATCTCTTACCAGATTGCATCCCTGCTCCCTTGGGATAATTTTAACTGTTTGCTAGCCTTTCTGCCTTGGATGGGGTAATATTTCAAGGAGAAAGTAGAAGTGATAATGACTTGTTTAATTTGTGCAGAAACAAATATAAGAATAGCCATAAAGTTATGGCCCTGGTGTTTCGGTCATATTTAAGAAAGTTGTTTGATGGTTGATTTTCCCTGCGTTCTGTATGCCTTAGGGTGAAACGTACACTCATAACTATGCTACTTTTTCCCTCAGACTTTTAGTGCTGGGAATTAGATCTGCACTCTCAAGGTCAGTTGAACAGTGTGTACACCAGCCATTTCTAGGGCACACGCCCAGTAACCTTGCTGAAGTTTCTAAGGACTGTGTGAAGATGCCTGTACAAGGATGTCCTCCAGAGCACTGTTCATACAACAAGCACTCGGCAGTGAGTCCGTGCCACCTACTGGGCACCTGTCAGCTTCCAGGCTGAGCAGTGGTCCTAGGAGGGCACTGCTGTCCCAAGAGAGCAGTTTGACATTGGGCAGGACCTTGTTTTCTAGTATAGTCTGGCACAGGAATTGACATGGTGAACTCTATACTGTTATGAAGAACTTTTCTTTTTTATTCCTCCATGATATTATAATTAAGGTTTATATTGATTTCCTTTGAAATGAGGCATGCATTTCAAGGTACTAAAGGAAGTATTATAAAATCTTGAAGGATAGATATGAATACTGATAGTTTTTAGGTGTTGAGGTTGTGTTTTTAATTTTCTTTTTGTGTATATTTCCTAATTTTTAAAAAAGATTTTATTTATTTGAGAAGTAGAGTCACAGTGAGAGGAAGAGACAGACAGAAAGGTCTTCTGTCTGCTGATTCACTCCCCAAATGACCACATAGCCAAGAGTCAGGAGCTTCTTCTGGGTCTCCCATTTGGGTGCAGGGGCCCAAGCACTTGGGACGCCATCTACTGCTTTCTCAGGCCTTAGAGTGCTAGATCAGAAGAGGAGCAGCCAGGACTAGAACCAGTACCTATATGGGATGCCAGTGCCGTAAGTGGAGGATTAACCTACTGTGCCACCAGCGCCAGCCCCATTTCCTTTTTTTTTTTTTTTTTTTACAGAAAATATTTATGTCCTGTTCAATAGATGCTTTGAGCTTTCAGATGTAAGATTTTCAGTGTCCTACTGCTCAGAGAGTAGCCATATTAATTCCTGTGCTTTGGCTTCAAATCACTTGCACTAAATGAGCTGCAGTATTTGTCAACAGTAGTACATGTTTACGGCTAGTGCTTTGTGAGTCACCTTTTGGTCACTCTCAAATTCTGAGAGGAGCGCTTTGGGAAGGAAGAGGGCTGATCTTGGCTTCTGGTTTTGGAGGTTTACAGTGCACGTTTGGGTGGGCCCATTCGTCCAGCATCTGACGAGGGTGGAGGCTGTCAGCGGTGGAGCGAGTGCTGAGGAACGATCACGTGGTGAGCAGGAAGCTGAGAGGCAAGGCGCTCACTCCTTCCTGTGGTCTCTCCTCATGAAGCCATCCTGACTGGCTCGTGGCTGTGCCCCAGCATCCCAGCCCAGTCACCGCAGCTGGATCAAGCCTCCACCCTGTCAGCACCATCAGTCCATGACTTTGGGACTTACATGTCTGGCAGAGTTGGGGAGCCAGATCCTGTTCAAGCCATAGCAGTAAGGTGGTGTGCGAGCCAGAGGTGATTCCCGGTCTTCACTGTGTGAGAAGCACCTGGGTCAGGACTACTGTCCGTCCCAGAAGATCGTCTCTAGATCTTTCTGAGAACCTGCACTTGTAATGTGCTTGTGGCTGATGCCTATGCCGCTGGCCCTGGGTCTGCACTGATTGTCTGAGGAGAACCAGGCATTCTGCATATTGGCCCGCTGACGTCAGGTGCTGAGTTAGAGGAAGTCCAGTCGTGTGTCAGTATGCTACGTGCATGTTTTGGGGCATGTAACCACATGAATTTTTTATCTTTGTCAGAGAACAACTTACCAAGAACTACTGTTAGCTTGCGTAAAGCTTACTGTCTATATTTTTCCAGATACTGTAATTTCATGAAAAAATGAAATTAAAAGATAAGTTTGGTGTGAAAAATTTTGATATCCATGTATAGTTTTTTCATTATATATATTTTTATTAACTTCAAGATCTTCTTATGCATGGATCTCAATATGGATTTTATTTTGTAAAAGAAAATTTTATTTTCCACAAACTTTTTTTTTTTTTTTCCAATTTATTTGAGAGAAAGAGACCTCTCAGCTCTCATCCACTAGTTCACTCCCTTATAACAGCCGAGGCTTGACTAGGCTGGACTCCATCCAGGTGTCCCACATGGGTAGCAAGAACCCAATTTCTTGAGCCATAACCGCTGCCTTTCAGGGTCTGCATTACCAAGAAGCTGGAGTCAGGAGCCCAGGCCTGGCTACCAGACCCAAATACTCTGCTCTGGGATGCAGGCATCTCACTGCTATGCTAATCACTTGCCCTCCACAAACTTTTTTGAAGTACTGTTGTACGTGGAGGGAAATACCAGAGGGGTTTTCCTCACTCAGTAACATTGGTTGGTGGGAAGGATATCAATGTCATGTTCTCTTCTCAGCTTTATATCTTAAATGAAATATTTTGATTTTTAAAATACTCCACTGTTTTAGGACTATTGTAGGTTAAAGGAGAAACTGTTTTTGTGTTATAAAATGAGACTAATACTTGCAAGGTCCTTGGAACAGGGTCTTGTAGCTGGTAAAACTCCATAAATGTGAGTTGTTACTTGTAGTATCTCCTGGTTGTGCAGAAAGGCAGTGTGGTACAGAGGTTAGGACACTGGCTCTGGCACCAGCTTGCCTGAATTTTGGATGTGGTCTCATTCTCACGTAATTATGGGCAAGTTAAATCCCTGTAGTTCAGGGCTCATATCCAGCCCATAGACACTGATAGAGTATGGAAGATAATCCTCTGCATCCATGGATTCAACTGAGCTCAGATTAAAAATATTTAGGGGTGGGCACTGTGGTGTAGCTTTGCCTGCTGGCAGTGCTGGCATCCTATATGGGCGCTAGTTCAAGATCCAGTTGCTCCATCTCTGATCCAGCTCTCTGCTGTGGCCTGAGAAAGCAGTAGAAAATGGCCCAAGTGCTTGGGCCCTTGCACCCATGTGGGAAGCGCAGAAGAAACTCCTGGCTCCTGGCTTCAGACCAGCCCAGCACTGGCTGTTGCGTCCATTTGTGAAGTGAGCCAGCGGATGGAGACCTCTCTGGCTCTGGCTCTGCCTGTGCCTCTCTGTAACTCTGCCTTTCAAATAAATAAATATTTTAAAACATGTATTTGGAGAAAAATTACATCTGTAATGAATATTATAGACTTTTTTTTTTTTAAGATTTCTTTGAGAGGCAGAGTTACAGAGAAAGGAAGAGACAGAGAAATCTTCATCCACTGGTTCACTCCCTAGATCGCCGCAGTGCCTGGAGCTGTGTTGATCCAAAGCCCAGAGTTTCTTTCTGGTCTCCCATATGGAATGCTTGGGCCATCTTCCATTGCTTTCCCAAGCCATTAGCAGAGAGCTGGATCAGATGTGAAGCAGCTGGCACTTGAACCAGTGCTCATATAGGATCCCTGCACTGCAGGCAGAGGCTTAACCTGCTACGCCACAGCACTGGCCCCCAGACTTTTTCAGTATTTCCTAAAGAATATAGTATACCACTGATGTACATAGCATTTACATTGTATTAGGTATTAAAGTCATCTAGAAAGACAGAGTGTACAGGGGGGTGTATGTAGGTGATACACAGATACTATACCACTTTATATAAGGGACTTGACCATCTGCAAATTTTGGTATCTTCAGGGATCCTAGAACCAATTTCCTATGCCCTGTGGATACTGAAGGACAACTGTGCTTCTGTGCTAGACAGTATCACAGCCATTGCCCCAAGTCCTCAGGGATCCTGGGATCCCCAGGGCCTGTAGGAGCTCCCCAGCCCCAGAGAGTGGGAAAGGAAATCCTGGTACAGCATGGCACTTCTGTTCAGATTGGACAGTGGTAAATACTGCTTTTCCGATTGTTCAGATTTTGACTGTTGCCTGAGATGATGTTTCTGCTCCTCAAGATTGAGTGAGTCGAGGTATACACAGGGCTTGGAATGGTGCCTGGCACTTAGGAAGTGCTCAGTGAGCATTAGCTGTCTTTATTGTATCACATCAGTTTTTTGTGTTTTTTGCACACAAATGTTTATTGTCTAACATCAGTTTTTACTTTGGGAGTGGGCAGCTGGGAAATGGAGAAGAAAAGTGCATGTTTGTTTATAAAGAGGATTGTCTTTTCCAGTAGGTTTTCCATTCTGTTCTCTGAGTTCATCGTTTTAGAGCCTCTGAGGAATCTCACTAAAGCACTGCCAAGTATTTTGAGTGAAACTTAGTCCCACACCATTATAACCAGCCTCTTGTTTTTAATTTGTAAGCCTTCATCATTTCTAAAACATTCTGAAACAGTTGAACCTTTTAGTGAGGTTAACCCTTTGTTTCCACTTTATCCTTAGCGTTTTTGTCTTTCTGTTTTTGTAGCAGTACGTCTGGTTTAACATTGGCAGTGTAGACACCTTTGAGCGGAATCTGGAAACTTTACAGCAAGAATTGGGCATAGAAGGAGAAAACCGGGTGCCTGTTGTCTACATTGCTGAAAGTGATGGGTAAGAAGTTTTCAAAATGTTATCTGAAGACTGTGTACTGTACAAAGTTCTGATCCAAATTTCTTAGGGTAAGTTAAACTGAACTGCATTATACTAAACATAAGTATGTATCTGCACCCCTAGTGGTGCTGAAATAAACTTTACTAAGACAAAAGGCACCTCAGTCGCTGAGTCACCCTGAGCAGCTTCCTCCACAGCAGGCAGGAGTTGGAAGGAGCCCGAGAGTCTCCTGGGAAGCTGCCAGGAAGTGGATGCTAAGGCAGCGCCTGCAGCAGTTGCAGGAGAGATGTAACCATTGTGTGCTTTACTTCTGAAACTCGCTCGCTGTTAAATTAGCAAAGATTTGCTATCTGAAAGACATTTCAGAATAAATTGTTGCATCTCAACAAGAAAACTGGAATTTCTACCCAGATTAATACCAAGGTCATCTGAAAAAAATATTTAAAAAAATTTTATTATTTATTTGAGTGACAGAGAATTCTCTGCTGGTTCACTTCCCAAATGCCCACACAAGCTATATGGATGCTAGGAACCCAATTTCTTGAGCCATCACCTGCTGCCTCCAAGGGTATGCATAAGCAAGAAGCTGGAATCAGGAGTGAGAACCAGGAATCAAACCCGGGTACTCTGATGGGGACATACATCTGAATTGCTGGGCTAAACATTCTCCCCCCATGTTAAAATCTTTAAATGATTGATATGAAATCTATTTGAAACATGTTTAGCAATAATAAATCACAGTGCATCCTGTGTATAAGTGGTGGTTATTGGGTGAGACTAAAATAGACAGCATTGATGTTGGTTTATCCTTTATAATTCAACATCAGTGATATTAACACACTTAGATTCTCCTTGTACCTCAAGTAAAATATTAGATTTTTCAAAAATTGAAAATATTTGCAATTGTATATGCAAAACATTGAAAAAGCCAAGGCTCCCCTGCCAGCATAGCAACATTAACACCGTGTGTCATCCCTCCAGCTCCTTCCTGCTGAGCATGCTGCCCACAGCACTCATCATCGCCTTTTTACTGTACACCATAAGAAGAGGGCCTGCTGGCATCGGGCGGCCCGGCCGGGGCATGGGTGGACTCTTCAGTGTTGGAGAAACCACTGCCAAGGTCTTAAAGGATGAGATAGACGTGAAGTTCAAAGATGTGGCTGGCTGTGAGGAGGCCAAGCTAGAAATAATGGAATTTGTGAATTTCTTGAAAAACCCGAAACAGTATCAAGACCTAGGAGCAAAAATCCCAAAGGTAAAATGAACTTTCAGAGGATTATACCCAGCAGTGTTCTGAAGTAGCCCTTGATCCCTGCAGTCATTTTAGGAAGGTGGATTACTTGTTATAAAGTAGCTGTTTTTTTTTTTCCTTTTAGCTTTACTTTAATTAACGTCTGTTTTGGGGTTTTTGGGGTGTATTCCTGAAACTACTTGTGTTGTCTCCTTTTGGAGGTCTGATTCATCTTCCTTCTCAGTCTGATTGGGCTGCTGAACCCTCCTGTAGCTCCCTGAGCACATCACACTTGGCTGTTACCCATTGTTCCCTCACTTCACAGAAGTGTGTGGACCGTCTGCCTGTGCCTGGCACTGAGGATCATGGCACAGATAGGGTATAGAAGAGACAGCTCTAATGAACACCTCCCCTTCTTCCAGCAGATGTATCTGTGGCCACTGTTAGCAAAACAGCCCGGGCCTTCCTGGGCTTTGTACCTCTGGCTAGGCACAAAACGGCCGTATTCTGTTTGTTGAATGGATAGCACCTTCATATTAAGTAAATAAATAAGAAATATTTGGGACAGGTGTTTAGTTTCATGGTTAAGATGTTGGTTGGGATGCCCACATTGCACTTCAGAGTGCTTGAGTTTGAGTCCTGATTATGCTCCAAATTCCAGCTTCCTGCTAATGCAGACCTGGGTGGCAGCAGGTGATGGCTAAAATAGTTGGGTCCCTGCCACTAATGTGGGAGACCTGGATTGAGTTCCTGGCTCCCGGTTTGGGCTCAGCTCAGCCCCAGCCATTGTGGGCATTTGGGGAGTGAACGAGTAGATGGGAGCTTTCTCTGTCTCTCTCTGCTTTTCAAATAAATTAAATACATAAAAATCTTTTAATTCTTTTTGCAGTCCATTAATATTTACTTTAAATGAATCATTTGTTAAAAAAAATCATCATTTCCTTGATTTTCACGTCCTGTCTACATGGATAAAAAGTCCTGTTGCATGGTTTCATAATTTGCTGTGCTTTGGAGACTGGCATTGTGGTGCAGTAGGTTAAGCTGCTTGTGACACCAGCATCCCATATGGTTGGGATGCCGCATGGGTGCTAGTTTGAGTCTTGGCTGCCCTCCTTCTGATCAGCTCACTGCTAATGCCCCTATGTAAGCAATGGAAGATGGCCCAAGTGCTTGGGCCCTTGCCACCCATGTGGGAGACTCAGATGGAGTTCTGAACTCTTGGCTCTGGCCTGACCCATCCTTGGCTGTTACAGCTGTTTGGGAAGTAAACCCACAGACAGAAGATCTCTTTCTGTCTCTCCTTCTCACACTGTAACTTTGCCTTTCAAATAAATAATCCTCTTAAAAAATTTGTTATTGTATTTCATATCCAGGCATCTATATAATTCAATGTAACAGTTTCATATTTTTAAGACTTATTTAATTATTTGAAAGAGAGAGAGAAAGATAACTTCCATCCCTTAGTAAACTCCACAGATGCTTGCAATGGCCACCCAGAACTGGGCCAGGCCAAAGCTAGGAGTTTCATCCTGATCTCCCACATGGGTGGCAGGGGCCCACACTTGGGCCATCTTCAGCTGCTCCTCCCAGGCTATTCAGGAGCTAAATCAGAAATAGAGCAGCCAGGACATAAACCAGCACCCATATAGAAACCAGCATTGCATGTGGTAGCTTTACCCGCAATGCCACAATGCTGGCCCCAACAGTTTTATATTATTTAAGCAAACTTGTTTAAGTTCATCATTGGTCATTGGATTTTTACTTTCTTTATGGAACTTATAAAGAAGAAATAAATACCTTAAAGTTTTGTCACAAAATCTAGGGGGAAAATGTCTTTTGACTAATATGGTGTATAATATATCCACCTCTCCACATGGTGGAATTTATAAATAGAGCATTACAGTAGTATGCCTAGTGATGAAAACGATAGGACACTGTTTATAGCTAATCTCTTAATGGACAATAATTGTAAAAGTCAATTTATAGAATTGGGTTTCAATTATCATCAATGCTAAAAATGTTGACTTGCATGTGAAAGTAGAAATTAGTGATTGAGTTTATTATTTGAGTTCAAAGACCAGTTTTACTTGTAAAGAGTAAAAGAAAGATGTAAATTTAGAATCTGATGTTTATATCTCCTTGAATTTTGTGAGTATTAATAGAGTTCCAGCTTAAGTCACCCTTAATGTACATATAAGGGGTCTTCACAAAGGTCATGAAAGATGATCTTACAGAAAAATTGTGCGTGGATTTCAGAATTATTTTTGCATAAAAATTAATTTATCTTTAATTTTTTGTATGTATGTATGTATTTGAAAAGCAGGTTAAGAAACTGAGGGCTCACATCTACTAATTTACTCCCCAAGTGCCCACAATAGCTGGCAATAGGGGCAAGTCAAATCCAGGAACCAGGACCCAAGGTGGGCCCCCCATGTGGGTTGCAGGGACCCCACCATTTGAGCCATCACCTGCTGCCTTCCAGGATACACATTGGCAAGATAGCTAGAATCAGGACAGAGCCATGACTTAAACCTATGCACTACAGTATGGGACATGGCTGTCTTAACCACCAGGAAAAATATACCTGCAAAGAAACTACCACCTCCTAAACATATCTGTCTTTTATTTATTTATTTTTTAAAGATTTGTTTGTTTATTTTGAAAGGCAGAATGACAGCAAGAGAGAGAGAGGGAGGGAGACAGATCTTTCATCCACTGGTTCACACCCCACATGACTGCAACAACTGGTGTTCCACATGGGTGGCAGGGGCCCAAGTACTTGGGCCATTATCTGCCACTTCCCAGGTTCGTTAGCAGAGAACTGGATCAGAAGCAGAGTAGCCAGGACGTGAACTAGTACTCTGATATGGGATGTAGGCATCCCAAGCAGTGACTGAACCTGCTTCACCACTATGCCTGCCCCTAAACTTATCTTTTAATTCCGTTTTTTTCACATACTTTTGAAGTACCTCTGTACTACTGAAGGTCTAAAATGAAAACACTAAAGTAAGGGAAGCACTTAAGGTTTCACATTCAAACAAATTTTTTGAAGAATTGTCACTAGTCATTCTTCTTGCTAATATATCTTAAGAGTTAAGATGTTTAAGAAATACATGTATCAATGAGATTTAGAGACAGTTACATCTTGACATTGTGTAGATATGCAATTTACTTTCCTGAAAATGTAATTTCTCTTTTTTAATGTCTGAAGGGTGCGATTCTCACTGGTCCTCCAGGCACTGGGAAGACACTGCTAGCTAAGGCCACAGCTGGAGAAGCCAACGTCCCCTTCATCACCGTTAGTGGATCCGAATTTTTGGAGATGTTTGTTGGTGTGGGTCCAGCTAGAGTAAGTCTTATTTTCTTGTTATTCTGTTTTTGTTTTCTTTTTAAACTTAGTTATTTCTTTGAGAGCGGACAGAGAGGGGGCTCACGACTGCCAGTTCATTCCCCAAATGTCTTCTGGGCTGGGCCAAAGCTGGAAGTTGTGAACTCTATGCAGGTCTCTCGTGTGGGTGACAGGAGTTCCATTACATGAGCTATCACTGCTGCCTCTCAGGGTTTGCATTAGCAGGAAGCTGAAATCAGGAGCTGGAGACAAGTGTTGAACCCAAGCACCCTGATGAGGTTGTCCTAACCAGTGTCTTAACTGCTAAGCCAAATGCCTGTCCCAGTACTGTTCTATCTATTTTGATGATTCGACTTCCTTACTCCCAGATCAGTGCCCCATCGATGGGGCCTTGGTGAAGATGGCCCTGTTCCTGAAGTCCCCAGAGTGACTTCTCATCAGTCACTGCTTTGAATACTCCAGGCCAGCCTCCAGCAAGGCCTGTGACTTCATGCCCACCTCCCTTACCCCAACTGAGATGGCAGTCAATGATCTAATGCAGTTCTTTCTTATTTATTTTTATTTTTTAACATTTATTTTATTGATTTGAAAGGCAGAGTTACAGAGAGGCAGAAAGAGAGGGGTCTTCCATCTGCTGGTTCACTCCCCAAATGGCCACAATGGCTGGAGCTGGGCCAATCCAAAGCCAGGAGCCAGGAGCTTCTTTCTTCGTGGTCTCCCATGTGGGTGCAAGGGTTCAAGGACTTGGACCATCTTCTACTGCTTTCCCAGGCCATACCAGGGAGCTGGATTGGAAGTGGAGCAGCCAGGACTTGAACTGGCACCCATTTGAGATGCTGGTATTGCAGGTGGTGGCTTTACCTACTGCGCTGCAGTGCCAGCCCCATACTGTTCTTTTTTTTTTTTTTTTTTTTTTTTTTTTTTTTTTTTTTTAAGATTTATTTATTTGAAAGTTACAGTTATAGGAAGAGACAGAGAGGTAGAGATTTTACATCCACTTGTTCATACCCCAAATGACCACAATGGCAGGAGCGGGGCTAGTCCAAATCTGGGAGCCAGGAGCTTCTTCTGGGTCTCCCACATGGGTTCAGGAGCCCAAGGAATTGGGCCGTCCTCCACTGCTTTCCCAGTCACGTTAGCAGGGAGCTGGATCAAAAATGGAGCAGCCAGTACTGCCGGCGCTGTGGCTCAATAGGCTAATCCTCCGCCTTGCAGCGCTGGCGCACCGTGTTGTAGTCCCGGTCGGGGCACCGGATTCTGTCCCAGTTGCCCCTCTTCCAGTCCAGCTCTCTGCTGTGGCCAGGGAGTGCAGTGGAGGATGGCCCAAGTCCTTGGGCCCTGCACCCGCATGGGAGATCAGGAGAAGCATCTGGCTCCCAGCTTCGGATCAGTGTGGTGCGCCGGCCGCAGTGCACCAGCCGCAGCGGCTGTTGGAGGGTGAACCAACGGTGTAAAGGAAGGCCTTTCTCTCTCTCTCTCTCACTGTCCACCCTGCCTATCAAAAGAAAAAAATAAATAAAATGGAGCAGCCAGTACTCAAACTGGAACCCATATGGGATGCCGGTGCTGCAGACAGCAGCTTTACCCTCTATTCCACAGTGCTGGCCCCCGAACTTATATTTCAAGAAGTGACTTTAATGTTTTTTGGTTTTGTAACAGTTTTATTGAGATAGAATTCATGTACCACAAAACTCACCATCTTAAAGTATCCAGTTCAGTGGCTTTTAGTGTATTACCAGTTATGTGCAACCACCACCGTCTGTTATGCAGTGTTTTCATCACCTGAAGAAGAAACCCCAGACCTTCAACTACCAGCTCCCCATTGCTGCTGCCTTACTCTCAGCCTAAGCAAATACTAATCTGCTTTGTCTATAAAATTTCCTGTTCCGTGTGTGGTCTTTTATGCCTGTTTTTTTTCACTTAGCACAATGTTTTCAAGGTAAATGGTTGTCATGTTTTACTTTTTTGAGGAGCCACCAGAATTTTCCAAAATTCCTGCACACGTTTACATTCCAACTGGCAGGGGGTATGATTTTTTTTTTTTTTTTTGTAGATCCTCACCACCACCTCATCTTTTCTCACTTTTTTATTACCACTGCTCATCCTAGTGGGTGTGATATGGTGTCTCGTTTTGCTTTTGATTTGTATTTCCTTAATGACTGATGATGTTGCGCATCTGTCTTCTCATATTGGCTGTTTGTCTCTCTTGCAGAGATGTCTATTTAGACCTTTGCTGTTTTTTTTAATTAGATGATCTCTCTATTCATTTTTATACTTGAGAGACACAGAGAGAACTTCCATCTTCCCTTTCACTCCCAAATGCTCCCGTTAGCCAGGTTTGGGCGGGTAGTAACCAGAAGCCAGGAACTCAGCTGGGGTCTCCAGGTGGATGGCAGAGACCCAGGCACTTGAGCTATCATCTGCTGCCTCCAAGGGTCTACACTAGCAGGAATCTGGAATCAGAAGCCAGAGCCTGGAATTGACTCTAGGTACTCCCATATAAATTTACTTATCTGAAGGGCACAGTTTTGAGAGAGAGAAAGGGAAAGACAGAGAAAGAGGTCTTCCATCCACTGATTCACTCCCTAAATAGCCACAACAGCCAGGGATGCAACAAAGCTAGAAGCCATCAGCTTCTTCCAGGTCTCCCATGTGAGTGCAGGGGCCCAGGCACTTGGGCCAGCTTCTTCTGCTTTCCCAGGCTCATTAACAGGAAGCTGGATGAGAAGTGGAGCAGCCAGGGCTCTAACCAGTACCCATATGGGATGCCAATGTTGAAGGAAAAGACTTTATCCACTGTGCCACAAGTCCTGCCCCAAGGGTTGCAGGCATTTTAACCACTTGGTCAAACACCCACCCTAGATTGTGTGTCTGTTTATTGTTGAATTTTAACAAGTTCTACATAGATTCTGGGTATCTACTCTGATCAGATACATGATTTGCAAATATCCTCTTCCATCTTGTGCATTTTCACCTTCTTGATAGTAAAGCACAAAAAAGTTTTTAAATTTCATGTCTTACTTGTCTGTTTTTCCTATTGTTGCTTATATTTTTGGTGTCACATCTAAGAACTTATTCCCAAATCCAAAACCATGAATGTTTACTCCTTTGTTTTCTTCTAAGAGATTTATTTCTTAGTTAGCTCAATAATCTATTTTGAGCTAATTTTTGTTTATTATACAAGGTAAAGGTCTAATTTCATTCTTTGCAGGTGGATATCCAGTTTTCAGCACTGTTTGTTAAAAAGACTGCCTTTTCCCATTTAATAATCTTGATACTCTTGACCCTTATCTCTGGACTCTCAGTGCTGTCCTTTTGATCTGTATGTCTTTTTTTTTTTTTTTTTTTTTAATTTGTTCATTTGAGAGGGAAAATGAGACAGATGAGAGTGAGAAAGGGTTTGGAGAGGGGGAGAGTATGCTCCCATACTCTGATTTACTACCCAGATGAACACAGCAGCCAAGCTAAACTGGGAGCCAGGAACTCAATTTATATCTCCCAGGTGGGCGGCAGGGACTTAATTACTCAAGCCATCATCAGCTGACTCCCAGGGTCTGCATCAGCAGGAAATGAGTCAGGAGCTGGAGGTGGGTCTCAAACCCAGGCATTCCAGCATGAGACATGTTGGTCCTGACTGGTAGCTTAACCACTGGGCTTAATGCTTACCCCCATATGTCTGTTCCTAGGCCAGTGCCATACCGTCTTGATTCCTGTTGCTTTGTAGTGAGTTTTGAAATCAGGAAGTGTATGGTTTATTGTTTAAAGAAGCACTTGTATTTATTTCATCAGTGTCTAGAATGTGACTTTGAACAGAAATACTGTAGAAATGCAAAATGCTATTGTGGGGAGCAAGCTCGGACTAGACTAAGTTACTGGAATTAAGACTTATTCTATGCACCTGCTCTCCCACAATATGGCGCTGGGAGAGAAGAAAACAGCTTCTACACAGCTGCCTCCAGTTCAACCAATAAACTGTAGGACTTGCTCCTGATTGGAGGAGAGCAGCGTACTCGGCGTGTGGGCAGCCGAGCACGGATTGGCGGAGGAGGACTATAAAGGAGGAGAGAGACGGCATGCACCAGGAACATCTAAGAGGAACATCTAAGGGGAACACCTGTGCAGCCCCCGAGAGAGCCGGCCGGCGGTGTGCCGCTCCCCTGCGGAAGTGGGGAATGTGGCAGGGGGAACCGCCCTTCCACGGAGGTGGAAGGGACAGTAGCCAACCCGGGAAGAACCAGCAGCAAACCCGGGGAGGGCCGAGCAGATGAAAGAACAGCGCAGGGTCCTGTGTCGTTCCTCCACGAAGAGGGGGAGCGACATAATGGTGCCGTGACTCGGATATGAAGCCTAGGCAGGGCTTAGTGTCGTTCCTCCACGAAGAGGGGGAGCGACATAATGGTGCCGTGACTCGGATATGAAGCCTAGGCAGGGTTTAGTGTCGTTCCTCCACGAAGAGGGGGAGCGACAGCTATCATAGTTAACTTTTCTAGACATCAAGGAACAACTTAGAATCAGTAAGAAAGTATTGTTCGGGCTGGCGCTGTGGCATAGTGGGTAAAGCCACTGACTGTGGTGTCAGCATCCCATATGGGTGCCAGTTCAAGTCACGGCTGCTCCGCTTCTGATCCAGCTCTCTGCTATGGCCTGGGAAAGCAGTAGAGGATGGCCCAAGTGCTTGGGCCCCTGCTCCCACGTGGTAGACCGGAGGAAGCTCCTGGCTCCTGGCTTTGGATTGGTCATCTGGGGAGTGAACCAGAGATGGAAGAACTCTCTCTCTGCTTCTGCCTCTCTGTAACTCTGCCTTTCAAAAAAATAAATACACCTTAAAAAAGAAAAGTACTGTGTCCTCAGTTAATAGCTAGTAACAATAGATCTTATTAATGACATCTTAGTTTAAGAGAATTACAATAGATAAAACAGGTGAATTCACATGGCTTTTATAAGGCTCATGACTCTTAAAAAACAGAGGAGGAAGGAAGAGTCACATGGTTATAACGATGGACCATGGGACCAGATGTGTGGGAACCTAGCACGTAGAGAGCTGAGAAATAGGTGAAAAATTGGTTATGTAGGATGGGCATTTGGCATGGTGCTTAAGACTGTCCTTGTGATGCCGACTCCCATATTGGAATGTCTGGACTCCTGCTGATGTAGACCTGGAGGCACTAGGTGATAGCCAAAGTGGTTGGGTATCTGCCACCCACATGGAAGACCCAGATTAAATTATGGACTCCTGGCTTTGGCCTGGCCTAATCCAGGCTGTTGTGGGCATTTGTGGAGTGACAAAATGGACAGAAAGTCTCTGCCTGCCTACCTCTCTCCTTTTCAAATGAGTGAAATTTTTTGAAAAAGAACTGGTCATGTGAGATGCTTGAGGGTGTATGGGGCTGGACAGACCCATTGGCTGGGCTGGTCAGAGAGGAGGGAGCTTGAGGCTGATTGTTGGGCACCTTGACGGTGCTGGACTTGTCAAAGTGTGCAGCAGGTATTAAACAGGTGGGTCAGGGGACTGAGAGACCAAGAGCCAGAGGGATGTGGGACATAGGCCAACAGAGGACCTCGGCAAGGAGGGTAGGGTGCCCGCCCCACTTGTGAGCCTCTGCAGGCAAGGGTTTTCCAGCAGGATTATTTTGGTGATTTGTAAGCAGACCCCAACTCCACCTCACCTGGAGGAGAAGGTAGAAAGTTCCTCTATGTGAGAGCTTTGATGGATGCCAAGTTCAGTTCAGGCACAAAGAGGGAGGAATGAGCTTAAGCTGTGGGGTCTGTTAGCCACAGATCTGGAGTTCAGAGGAAGACTGTAGGGGTGCGTGAGTTACATCAGGAGGTGTTAAAAATGAAAATCCTGAAGTCCAGGCAGGAGAGGCTGAGGAGGAGGCATGGAAACTGAAGTGAAAGGGCTATGAGGTGCTGGGGCTCATGTCTGGCACTTGTAAAAGGGGCAAGTGACTGACATGGGCACAGCAGGGACAGCCCCTTCTTCCCACCTCAGCTTATGGCCTGAGAGACCATCTCTGGGAGCAAAGGTGCCAGCTGCTGTCCTCTCACAGTGGCTTTGGGAGCAGGGGCATCACTGCTGCTTGGTGGTGGCCATCAGGGTAGGCTTGCAAAGTCCTTGCCCTTACTTTGTGTGCAAGGGTTGCATAGACCTATTAGTAAATTTCTGCTCACTGCCTTCTTTTTAGGCATGATATGTGAACTGGGAGGTCTGAACTTGTCAACTGAATATGAGGTTTACAGCTCTATAGTGTTGTCTTTTTTGTAGGGCAAACCATGTCATATTAAGTTGATACTAGGACAACAGATGTTGTTAGTGTTTATTACAGATGCAATAATTGATGAGATTATAGGAATGATATTTGCTTGCCTCGAGTCAGTTACCAAGTTACTCATGCTTTGCTTGTCCTTTGCTACTTGTAACCCTTTAAATATGTCCTCTACAGTATGTAACAAAGATTTCCTTCATAGATTTAAAAAAAAAAAAAAAAACAACCTTAAGGCTTATGTTTCATGAGGAGATAAATAGCACTCACTTGTCAGGCCTCCTTCTGTTTCTCTTGTTACCAAGGTGCGAGACTTATTTGCCCTGGCTCGGAAGAATGCTCCTTGCATTCTCTTCATTGATGAAATCGACGCTGTGGGACGGAAGCGAGGAAGAGGCAACTTTGGTGGGCAAAGTGAACAGGAAAACACACTCAACCAGCTGCTGGTGGAGATGGATGGTGAATAGTCAAGTCTTCTGTATTTTATTTATTTTTCTTAAAGGTTTATTTATTTATTTTAAAGGCAGAGCTTCAGAGGGAGAAGGAGAGCTCTCTGTCTACTAGTGCACTCCCCAAATGACAGCAGCAGCCATGTGTGGGCCAGGTGGAAACCAGGAGTGAGGAACTCAATATAAGTCTCCCACATGGTTAGCAGAGGCCCAAGTACTTGGGCCATGTTCTGCCGCCTTCCCAAGCACATTGGCAGGGAGCTGGATTGTAAGCAGAGCAGTCAGAACTCCAGCTTGCACTCCAGTTTGGGATGCCAGTGTCACAACCAGCAGCTTAGCTTAACACACTGTGCCACAATGCTAGCCCCTTGTACTTTATTTTTTATTCTTTTAAAATGTTTATGTATTTACTATTTGAAAAAATAAAAGTGCTCATCCAGTGGATCACTCCTCAGATGCCTACAATAGCTGGGGTTGAGCCAGGTTGAAGCTGGGAGCTGGGAACTCAGTCTAGGTCTTCCACATTGAGTAGCAGGGACCCAATCACTTAGGCCATCACTGCTGTCTCCTGGGTCTGCATTAGCAGGAAGCTGGAGTTAGGAACCAGAGTTGGAACTCAAACCCAGGCACTGTGATGCTCGACACAGGCATCTCAACCAGTGTCTTAGCCATTAGACTAAATGCCTACCTGAAAGTTTTCTGTTATTTATTTATTTTTTTTTTAATTTACTTGAGAGGTAGAATACAGACGGAGAGGGAGAGAGAAAGAGAAAGGTCTTCCATCTGCTAGTTTACTCCCCAAATGGCTGCAATGGCTGGAGCTGGGCCAGTCCAGAGCCAGGAACTACTTCCAGGTCACCCACACGGGTGCAGGGACCCAAGGACTTGGCCCACCTTCTCCTGCTTTCCCATGCCTTAGCAGAGAGCTAGATTGGAAGAGGAGCAGCCAGGACTAGAACCAGTGTTCATATGGGATGCTGGCACCGAAGGCAGAGGCTTAGCCAACTACACCACAGCACTGGCCCCTATTTTTCTGTATTTTAAATGATGCTTTCTCACTGTTTTGCTTATCTATAAAAATGAGAATGCTTATTCTCATATTGAGTGGTCTCCCCCACCTCCAGGGAAAAAAGATATCTAAAGCATTCCTCTTTAGCTACTGTTTTATATCAATATGCATGATAACAAACTATAGTTGCCTGTCAACCTACCATAATGTAATATCGGTATTGAGCTGGTATTTGTATCTGGAGTTGAGTAAAAGGAAAAATGGTGAAATGATCCACAGAAAAATGACATTCCCATTGCCAAATCATCTATGATCCTGAAGCATCAGGGGATGCAAGTGTGACCAAGTGTGAATTTGGCCAGTTTCAAATACTCTTTTTTAAGAATTATTTATTGGGGCTGGTGCCGCGGCTCAATGGGCTAATCCTCCACCTGCGGCGCCAGCACACCAGGTTCTAGTCCCGGTTGGGGTGCCAGATTCTGTCCCAGTTGCTGCTCTTCCAGTCCGGCTCTCTGCTGTGGCCCGGGAGGGCAGTGGAGGATGGCCCAGGTCCTTGGGCCCCGCACCCGTGTGGGAGATCAGGGGAAGCACCTGGCTCCTGGCTTCGGATCAGCGTGGTGCGCCGCTGGCTGCAGCGTGCTGACAGCGGCCATTGGGGGGTGAACCAATGGAAAAGGAAGACCTTTCTCTCTGAATCTCTCTCTCTCACTGTCCACTCTGCCTGTCAAAAAAAAAAAATTTATTTATTGGGACTGATGCTGTGGCGTAGTAGGTGAGGCTGCCACCTGCAGTGCCAGCATCCTGTGTGGGCACCAGTTTGAGTCCCAGCTGCTCCACTTCCGATCCAACTCAATGCTGTGGCCTGGGAAAGCAGTGGGAGATGGCCCCTGCACACACGTGGGAAGACCAGGAGTTAAGCTCCTGGCTCCTAGCAGCTCCAGCCGTTGCAGCCAATTGGGGAGTGAATCAGAGCATGGAAGGCCTCCCCCTCTCTCCCTCCCTCCCTCCCTTCCTCCCTCCCTCCCTTCCTCCCTTCCTCCCTTCCTCCCTTCCTCCCTTCCTCCCTTTCTCTCTCTCTCTCTCTCTCTCTCTCTCTCTCTCTTTTTCTTTCTTTCTCTCTCTCTGCCTCTCCTCCTCTCTGTGTAACTCTGACTTTAAAATAAATAAATCAATCTTTAAAAAAAGATTTAATTATTTATTTGAGAAGTAGAGTTACAGATGGCGAGAGGGAGAGAGAGAGAGAGAGAGAGGTAGGTCTTCCATCCGCTGGTTCTCTTCCCAAGTGGGTGCAATGGCTGAAGCTAGGCCAATTTGAAGCCAGAAGCTTCTGGGTCTCATGCAGATAGCCCTAAGCACATGGGCTATCTTCTACTGCTTTCCCAGGCCGTGAGCAGGGAGCTGAATAGAAAGAGGAGCAGCCAGGACTTGAACCGGCGCCCATATGGGATGCCGGCACTTCAGGCCAGGGCTTTAGCCTTCTGCACCACAGCGCCAGCCCCAAAACAAATTTTAAGTCTCAGGGAGGGATGGAAGAGGATGGTTAATGGTTACAGGAGTGCAGTTGGACAGGAGGAATGACTTCGAATGTTCTGTAGCACTGTAGAGTAACTGGTGACAACAGTTAATAGTATGTTTCAGAACAGCTAGGACAATGCTCTTGAATGTTCCCAGTACAAAGAAATAAGGAATGTTTGAGGTGAGAGATATGTTACCCTGATCTGTTCATCACAGATTATATCCAGATATTGAAATAACAGATTGTAGCCCACAGCTGTATATAATTACTGTGTACCGATTAAAAATATTAAACATATTTAATAACTTTTAGTCCATCATATGACTATTAAGTTTTTAAGATTGATTTATTTATTTGAAAGGCAGAGCTACCCACAGAGATCTTTCATCTACTGGTTCACTCCCCAAATGGCCATTTGCTTCATCTAGGTCTCCCATGTGGGTAGAGAGGCCCAATCATTTGAGCCATTTTCTGTGCTTTCCCACATACATTAGCGAGGCGCTGGGTTGGAAGTAGACCAGCCAGAATTTGAACCAGCGCTCATATGGGACGCCAGCGTCGCAGGCAGTGGCTCAACCCGCCTTACCACAACAGTGGTCCCCTGCTCTCTGGTTATTAAGGACAAAATGAATAGCAAGAAAAATAATTCAAGTTAGTGACTTTAAAAATTCTGGATAATAGAAAAACATGGTAGTGCAGCTATGCCTTGTCATGCTCGTGTGTTCTGGACAGGCACACTGTGGCTTCCTGCTGTGTGTCATTTAATGACTACATTTTTGTTATCTTTTCAGGATTTAATACAACAACAAATGTTGTCATTTTGGCGGGTACCAATCGGCCGGATATCCTGGACCCAGCACTGATGAGACCAGGGCGTTTTGACAGGCAGATCTTTATTGGTGAGGTGGTGTCCCCCAGGCTCATTCCACTTCTCATGGTGTAAGTATGACTGTCTGACATTTTTTTTTTCCTTAATAATTTCTAAAGGACCACCAGACATAAAAGGAAGAGCCTCTATTTTCAAAGTTCATCTGCGGCCACTAAAACTGGACAGTGCCTTGGAGAAGGAGAAGCTGGCCAGAAAATTGGCATCCTTAACTCCAGGATTTTCAGGTGAGTGGAATAACTGCTGTTTTGCCCCTGATAAGCACCAGGCACAGTCCACTGTACTACCTCTTACCTGGGTTGCTGAAGTCTGTGTTTTTATTTTCTTAACGTGGGAAATGTCAGACACACACAGAATATGAGGAGCTAGCATAGCGAGCCCATCCACACCCACCGTCTCACTCAGTAGCAGGTTCTGATCCACATGCGTGTATTTATCGGAAAAGTTAGAGATCTGAAAAGCATTTGGCAAGCTTGACATTTGTTTTTAAATTTAAAAAAATTTTTAAATATGTATGTATACTTTTTTAAAAAGATTTATTTATTTGAAAGAGTGACAGGGATGGATCTTATATTTGCTGGTTCATTCTCCAAAGGCCCACAACAGCTGGGACTGGGCCAGGCTGAAGCAGGAACCTGGAACTCCATCAGGGTCTCCCATGTAAGGGCAAGAAGCCAAGTACTTGGGCCATCATCTGGTGTCTCCCAGGTGCATTAGCAGGAAGCTAGATCAGAAGTGCAGAGTAGCCAGGATGCAAACCAGACATTCTGACATAGGATGCAAGAATCCCAAGTGGCAGCTTAACTTGCTGTGCCACAACACTTATTGCAGCTTCATGTATCTTTTTGTTTAAAAGATTTATTTATTTATTTGAAAGAGTTACACAGAGAGAGGAGAGGCAGAGAGAGGTCTTCCATCCGCTGGTTCACTCCCCAATTGGCCCCAACAGCCAGAGCTGCCCCGATTCTAAGCCAGGAGCCAGGAGCTTCCTCTGGGTCTCCCACATGGTTGCAGGGGCACGAGGACTTGGGCCACCTTCTACTGCTTTCCCAGGCCATAGCAGAGAGCTGGATTGGAAGTGGAGCTGCCGGGTCTCGGAACAGCTCCCATAAGGGATGCCAGCACTTCACGCCAGGGTGTTAACCTGCTGCGCCACAGCGCCAGCCCCAGCTTCATGTATCTTAATTTAAGTTGTTTAATTGAGTGTCCTAGGTTATTGTAATGCTTATGTTCATAATTTTTTTGTCAGCTTATTAACTAATGTGTCCACCTAAGTCATTTTCCCAGCAGAGATGGTGAAACTAAATGAGTTAACTAAGATAATAAAATGCTGTCTTAGCTGCAACAAAAACTGTATTGTCTTAAGGTAAAGGGTCATCTTTAATTATCTGTTTACTACTAATACTTTCATCTCAGTACGAAACACCAAGATTATACGAGGTTTACACTAAATGCTGGAGAAGCTTAGAGTTATCATGAACCAAACTGATTGATCTCTCCATAAAACACTTATCCAGTCTAATGCTGGTTGAGAAGTTGACTCTGGATCTAGTCCTCCACAGTGTGTGGCAAGCAGTGTGGGTGTATTTTGGTGGTAAGCCGTTCTGTGTGCTCATTTTGTAGGAGCGGATGTTGCCAATGTCTGTAACGAAGCCGCCTTGATTGCTGCAAGACACCTTTCAGATTCCATAAATGAGAAACATTTTGAACAAGCAATTGAACGAGTGATTGGGGGTAAGGCAGCTGATGGGACTCGGGTCAGGAGACTGAGCAAATGAACTTGAGGGAGGCCGGGGTTTCTGTGTTTCGGTGGGATCTGCCTGGGGCCTGCCCTGTGCTCTCCGTGTCTGTGCCCCTTCCCCCTGCTCTGAGGTAGAACTTGCTTGTTATCTCACAGCGCTGCTGCTGGAAGCCAAGCTAGGAGCAACTGCTTGTAGTGAGCTGGCCGACTGAGAAAATGAGAGGTGCCTGCAGTAAACTGGGGAGTTCATGCTTTGTCTTTTCAGATAGGCAGGAGGGGCTTGTTAACCTTCCTTCTAACTCCCCAGCCTTGCAGCTCTCTGGGGCGGTCACTGGGAGCATCGCTTTGTGTATGTGCGAATCTTCCAGCTTCCTTAATATTATCAGTTGAGAAATTCTCTTTGATGAATTACCTTGAACACAGCAAAGCTGCTTTTGTCACAGTGTGGTGATTTGTGTTAGTACTGACTGGGCAGAGTCAGTTTTCACAGCACACGGTGACAACATGAGGTTCAGGGACCAAAGAAGAAGGGTGCTTAGACTGCAGGTCTTTTGCTCTGTAGCGTACTTGTTGGCCCAGCCTCTCTGAGGTGGCCTTCTCGGGTCCATTCTGGCTAACTGATGCCCGTGGCTCGTGGTGGGTGTAGTGGGTGCCCCAGCATCAGCCTGGGATCAGGAGCAGAGGGCAACAGGTCTCTCGTGGCCAGCAGCTCATTCTCAATACCTAGACTGAGTGCTGAGGATCTTTCCAGAGTCCCTTGTTTTCTGGGAATATGTTTTAAAATGACTTAAGTGCTGAATTCTGTTTTTTTTTCTTTTTTTTTTTAATTTATTTTTAGTTTTGTTTTTCTGTTTATTTCCCACACCTGGCTCTGTGACTTTAAAAGCATGAGAGAAATGGAAGTGGGCCTGAGGGTAGGGGTAGTGAGGGCATTTTTGCTGTAGTTGGGTAATGGTAGGCAGCTGAGTCTCTAAGCACTTTTTTTTTTCATTATTAGTTGTAAAGGACATAGAGGAAGAGATACGCGGTTGAGTCTTGTGAGGAGGGGTGCGGAGCTTCCTTGCCCTCTCTGGGTGCGCGCCTTGGGGCACTTCCACACATTCCCCTCTCCGGAAGTCTCTAAATGCACCCCACATAGGCAATAGATAGCATCATGTAACTGTTTTTTACTGTCTGTGTCGCCAAAACCACAATTTGGGTTTTGATATTTTGTTAGGCTTAGAGAAGAAAACCCAGGTCCTGCAGCCTGAGGAGAAGAAGACGGTGGCATACCACGAGGCCGGCCACGCAGTCGCCGGCTGGTACCTGGAACATGCCGATCCGCTCCTCAAGGTAAAGCCGTGCGTGCTAATGGCCAACTCACTCCCTGAGCACTCCCTTGGGAGGAGAGTAGCACTCTCACTTAGGACAAATGTTTACGATGTTTAACTTCAGAGGAGTTTAGCAAAAAACTAATGACCGTTGTGTGAAGTGGTCACATAAACTCTCTCACAGATAGGTCATAAAGTGGGGGTAGCAAACTTGTGAAAGGGACGGCAAAGTGTCCCAACGCAGCGGAGCTGGGAGCGGCTGCCCTGACAAAGCAGCAGCAGCGGCGGTGGTGGTTAAAGTGTGCGGCTCTCGAGGATTTTCTGTAAGCTCCATACTCCAGTGTGAAAACATTGGCCGTATAGTCTTGAGGTCATAGAAGAGGGAGGTCAGGATTTAAAAGAATACTGGGAATTTAACAGGAAAATCTTAGAAATGAGGAGGAGAGCGGAGGCTGATCCCTAAACCGAGTATGTAGAGGAGTGGTCACAGAGACCCTGGCAGAAAAGGAAGCTAAGACAAAGGAGAAACCCTCCCCTGAAGGATAGGGTTGCACCAAGTGGGATTTTTTTTTTTTTTTAAAGATTTAGTTATTTGATAGAGTTACACAGAGAGAAGGAGAGGCAGAGAGAGACAGAGAGAGAGGTCTTCTATCCACTGATTCACTCCCCAATTGGCCACAACAGCCGGTGCTGTGCTGATTCAGAGCCAGGAGCTTCCTCCAGGTCTCCCACATGGTTGCGGGGGCCCAAGGACTTGAGCCATCTTCTACTGCTTTCCCAGGCCATAGCAGAGAGCTGGATTGGAAGTGGAGCAGCCGGGACTTGAACCGGCACCCACATGGGGTGCTGGCGCCAGCCCCGCCAAGTGGGATTTTTAAGTCTTGAGTTTTTTCACCTGAAAAGTGGTACGAACCGGTGCAGCACAAAGCAGGTGTCTGACTGCCCAGCAGTGTCAAAGGACCTAGAAATTGAGGGGGAGGAAGTCTGCAGCTGGGGAGCATCACAGTGTGCATAAACATCCTGAAGGATCTGCAAAGAAGCCACTAGAAGTAATAAGTGTAGGTACTAGTGGCCTTGCAGAACTCAAGAACAGTTGTATTTTTCTTTTTTTAAGATTTATTTACACACACAAGGAACTTCCATACATTGGCTCACTCCCCCAAGGCTGCAGCAGCTGGGGCTGGGCTAGGCTGAAGCAGGGAGCCAGAACTTCCATCTGGGTCTCACATGTGAGTGACCCAAGCGCTTGAGCCATCTTCTTCTGCCTTTCCAGGAGCTGGATTGAAAGTGTGGTAGTGGAGCCAGCGCTGTGGCATAGTGGGTTGGGCTGCTCTCTGACAAGCTGGCATCTCATATGGGCACCAGTTTGAGATGGCTGCTCCACTTCCGATCCAGCTCCCTGCTGGTGTGCCTGGGAAAGCAGTGGAGGATGACCCAAGTCCTTGGGCCTCTGCACCCACCTGGGAGACCTGGAGGAAGCCTCTGGCTCCTGGCTTTGGATCAGCCCAGCTCTGGCCATTACAGCCATCTGGTGAATAACAGCAGAAGGAAGACCTCTCTCTCTTCCCTTCCCTCTCTCTAACTCCACCTTTCACATAAATAAATAAATCTCATTTAAAAAAATATTTATTTATTTGGAAGAGTTACACAGAGAGAAAGGAGAGGCATAGAGAGAAACAGAGGTCTCCTATCCGCTGGTTCACTCCCCAGTTGGCCACAATGGCTGGAGCTGCGCCAATCTGAAGCCAGGAGCCAGGAGCCAGGAGCCTCTTCCAGGTCTCCCACGCAAATGCAGGAACCCAAGGACTTGGGCCATCCTCTACTGCTTTCCTAGGCCATAGCAGAGAGCTGGATTGGAAGTGGAGCAGGTGGGACTCGAACTGGCACCCATATGGGAAACAGGCACTGCAGGTGATGGTTTTACCCACTACACCACAACGACGGCTCCAGTAAATAAATTTTAAAAAAGATTATGGAACTACAAAGGGACTAAAATAGCCTGGACTGCTAACTTTGAGTGTTTACTGACTGACTTTAGCCTTAGTGCACAGCCACCATAATGAGGAAAGGATTGGCATGTAGGTCAGTGAGATACAGTAGGGTGTGGAAAGGGACCACACACGCTTTCTTACTTGATTCTCAACAGAGGTACGAAGGTAATTCTAGAAGGAAGAGCTGTCTTATCAACAGGGATTTCTGGCAACTCAGTATTCATAAGAAAAAAAAGTGAATGTTGACCTTACCTCCTAGAAATAAGTAATTCAAAGTAGATCATAAAAGCTAAACCTTTTAAAGCCTCTCGAGAAAGCAGGTAAAAGTCCTTGTGGCCTTAAGTGTTCAAAAATTTCTTGGGGCATAAAAAGCATGAACCACAAAAGAGGTAGATGGGATCTTATCAGATTTAAAACTTTCTTAAAAGATACCATTAAGAAAGTGAAGGCAAACCACCTACTTGGAATGTGTTTGCCATGTACGGATACAACAAATTACATGTATCTGAAAAACAGAAACAATTCAAGAGTGCAAAGAAGCAACCTGGTAAAACCATGGGCAAAGGATTGTAACATATTGTGAAAGAAGACAGTAAGCATGTGAAGGTCATATTATTAATCACGGGGAAAATGCAAGTGAAACCATAATTAAATACCAAAACACACTCATTGGAATGGTTGAAATAAAAAAGGGTTGGTAAAGATGTGGCGCATTCTGAATGGAGGAACGTAAAATGGTGCAACCATTTCAGGAAGTGGTTTGGCAATTTCTTGCAAAGGTCAATAAACACTTGCACCTGAGCAGGCAATCAGAAATGAACAGGGAGGCCCATGCAAAGACTGTTACTGTTTTACTTAGAATATCGTAAGCTAGCCCTAAGTCCATCCAGAATGAAGCATTGTTTAGTAAGTTTGTACAGCGGAGTGCCATACAGCATTAACAGTGAATGAGCTATTACACACAGCAGTAAGGATGAATCACAGAGAGGGAAAGGAACCAGGCCCAGGAAAGTACGAGCCATTTGTATGCAATTCCTGGAATTGTGGCCTTGCTCACAGGGGCAGAAAGCAAATCTGCAGTTGCCTGGGACTGGGACCAAAAAGATTGACTACAGAGGGTGTGTGGGAAATTTTTAGGCACGATGAGAATGTTTTATATCTCCAGTGTGGTCAGAGGTTATGTTTGTCAAAACCCATTAAAGTATGTACTTAAAATGGGTGATTTATATATATAAATTCTCTCCAAAAGTTGATTTTTAAAAAATTAAACAGATTTACTTAATTGCAAAAAGAGGACAAGAAAAGCAACTGTTGAGCGTGTGGCCCGCCTGGCCCCTTGCGCTGTCAAGGGGTGGCTATGTGAGTTGAGCCCAGACTGCATGATGTCCCTGCTGCCAGAAGGGGCTCCTTTTGTCAAAACTGAATAATATCAAGAAGACAAAAATCACTTCCTAGAACTCTGAAGTTACCCTGAAGTTATCCCTGCTGCTGGGTGCTGTCACCCTGGGGTGGTGGACTGGCCTGCTGCTGTGCTGGCTTTATCTGCAGGCAGGCGGTTTGCTGGGGTGTACATTTGGTAGTGGGATCTTCAGCGTTGTGTGTGTGTTCCACTTACCAGGTATCTATCATCCCCCGTGGCAAAGGATTGGGTTATGCTCAGTATTTACCAAAAGAACAATATCTGTATACCAAGGAGCAGCTCCTGGATAGGATGTGCATGACTTTAGGTGGCCGTGTGTCGGAGGAAATATTCTTTGGGAGAATTACCACCGGTGCTCAGGACGACCTGAGAAAAGTGACTCAGAGCGCCTATGCCCAGGTGAGTCCCTGACGCCCACTAGGGCTCTGAAATGGTGTGCTGTGTTTCACTGGTTTAGGCTTTGGGGGCAAGGATCATTTCTTAAATCCATTTTAAAGAAATCAAAATATATGAAGATAAAATTTACTCCTGAATATATAAAATGTATGTACAGAGGCTGAAGTGTGGTTATAAATGATACCTGTCCCTTCTCACAGTTCCCTCCTTTCTTGTTGGCAGTGACCACTTTCCTGCCTTGGTGTTGTCATTTTATTTTCTTCAATTTTTTTAAAGATTTTGTTTGTTTATTTGAGAGGCAGAGTTATAGACAGAGGAAGAGAGAGGTCTTTCATCTGCTGGTTCACTTTCCATATGGCCACAATGGCTGGTGCTGGGCCAGTCTGAACCCAGGAGCCAGGAGCTTCCTACAGGTCTCCCACATGGGTGCAGGGGCCCAAGCACCTGGGCCATCTGCTGCTTTCCCAGGCTCATTAGCAGGGAGCTGGATTTGAAGAGAAGCAGCTGGGACACTAACCAACACCCATATAGGATATCAGCGCTGCAGGCAAAGGCTTAGCCTACTACACCACAGAACCGGCCCCTGTTTTCGTTAAGTTTTACCACAGGAGTGTACATATGCAAATAGCAGACCTTTTTTTTTTCTAAACATTTATTTAATGAATGCATTTTTCATAGGTACAACTTTAGGGAAATCGCTTTTCTTTCCTCCATAGCTGCCCTCCCACCCCAACTCCCATCCCACCTCCTACTCTTTCTCCCATCCCCTTCTTCATTGTGGTTCATTTTTAGTTTAACTTTATATACAGAGGACCAACTCTATGCTAAGTACAGATTTTAACAGTTTGCACCCACACCCACACACAATGTATAAAGTACTTTTTGAGAACAAGTTTTGCATTTAATTCTCATCATACGACTCATTAAGGACATAGGTCCCTCATGGGGAGTAAGTGCCCAGTGACTTCCATTGTTCCTTTAACAATTAACACTCTCATTTATGATGTCAGTGATGACCCGATGCTCTTGCCATGAGCTGCCAAGGCTATGGAAGCCTTTTGAGTCCATAGACTCCATCAGTATTTGGACACAGCCATAAGCGAAGTGGAAGTTCTCTCCTCCCTTCAGAGAAAAGTACATCCTTCTTTGATGGCCCCTTCTTTCCACTGGGATCTCACAGAGATCCTTCGTGTAAAGGATATTTTTTGCCACAAAATTTTGGCTTTCCATGCCTGAAATGCTCTCACAGGCCTTTCAGCCAGAACAGGAAGCCTTAAGGGTTGATTCTGAGGTCAGACTGTTTACAGGGAATGTCATTCTAGAAGTCCAGGAGAGTCTTCGTCAACTTCATTCATCTCTTAGCTCCTCTTTGCCTGTCTTCTGTGTCTGTCATCTTCTCAAATCCTTTTTTCCCTCCTAAGTTCCTATTTATTTGAGAGAACAAGAGCATACTCCCATCCACTGGTACACTCCCCAAATGACCAGAATGGCCAGTACTGGGACTAGGCCAAAGCTTCGGACCTGGAGCTCAATCCAGCTCTCCCTTGTGGGTGGCAGGAACCCAGATATCTCCCAGGGTCTGTACTGACAGGAGGCTGGAATTGGTAGCCAAAATTGGGTGTTGGATCTGGGCATTCTTTTTTTTTTTTTTTTTTTTAAGATTTATTTATTTGAAAGTCAGAGTTACACAGAGAGAGGAGAGGCCGAGAGAGAGAAGAGAGGTCTTCCATCCACTGGTTCACTCCCCAATTGGCCACAACGGCTGGAGCTGTGCCAGTCTGAAGCCAGGAGCCAGGAGCTTCCTCCAGGTCTCCCACACGGTTGCAGGGGCCCAAGGACTTGGGCCATCCTCTACTGCTTTCTCAGGCCATAGCAGAGAGCTGGATTGGAAGTGGAGCAGGCGGGACTCAAACCGGCGCCCATATGGGATGCTGGTGCTTCAGGCCAGGGCATTAACCCTCTATGCCACAGTGCCAGCCCTGGATCTGGGCATTCTAATACGGGATGTGGGCATATTAACTGCTAGGCCAGATGCCTGCCTCATGTGAATCCTTCTTAATGCCTCATTAAAAGTATTTTTTTTTTTTTTAAATTTGACTTGTCTTTTTTTACTATATAGTTTTTTTCTTTGATAGGCAGAGTGGACAGTGGGAGACAGAGAGGAAGGTCTTCCTTTTCCGTTGGTTCACCCCCCAATGGCCGCTGCGGCCAGTGCAATGCAACCAGCGCACTGCGCTGATCCGAAGCCAGGAGCCAGGTGCTTCTCCTGGTCTCCCATGCGGGTGCAGGGCCCAAGCACTTGGGCCATCCTCCATTGCAGTCCCGGCCACAGCAGAGAGCTGGACTGGAAGAGGAGCAACTGGGACAGAATCCAGCGCCCTGACTGGGACTAGAACCCAGGGTGCCGGCGCTGCAGGCGGAGGATTAGCCTAGTGAGCCGCAGCGCCAGCCATCACTATGTAGTTCTTTCAGGGCATTAGATCTTAGGATTATTTGCCCTTGTTTCTTTCTAATTTAAAGTTAATTATAAAAATAATTATTCTTTTATATAATTTTCTCTGCATTCCAGCACCTCATCTGAGCTTTCTAATTCCAATTAATGTAGTTCTTTCATATTTCCTATCATTTTCCCAAGTCCTTGAGCTGTAATTGAAGTAGTAGATCACGGTTTACCTGTTCTGTGGACCTTTTTACACTGCTCTTATCTGTGGAGATACTGTTCTGCGTCTTACTCTTTTTCTTAACTTGTAAGGGATTTTCTACTGCCCATTTTCACATGAAATTTGTCTCCCTGATCCCTTAAGAGGGAAGTGGTTAGGGCAGGTTTCCTAGTGTCCTGGCTTTGCTCCTGCTTCATTTTCTTCAAGTGCTAGAAATGGGTTTCCTGCTTTCCGGCTTCCCCAGCTCTGTTCTCGCCATCCCTGCTCTGGCTGGGCCTTCTCTTTTTTTCTTTTCTTTTCTTTTCTTTTTTTTTTTTTTTTTTTTTAATATTTGTCTATTTATTTGAAGGAGTTACACAGAGGGAAGGAGAGACAGAGAGAAAGAGAGGTCTTCTGTCTGCTGGTTCACTCCACAGTTGGCCACAGCGGTCGGAGCTGTGCTGATCCAAAGCCAAAAGCTTCTTCTTAGTCTCCCATGGAGGTGCAAGGGCCCAAGGACTTGGGCCATCTTTTACTGCTTTCCCAGGCCATAGCAGAGAGCTGAATTGGAAGTGGAGCAGCCAGGTCTTGAACCAGCACCCATATGGGATGCCGGCACCGCAGGCGGCCGCTTTACCCGCTATGCCACAGTGCCGGCCCCTGGGCCTTCTCTTTTCTCTTCAGTTCAGGTTTACTCCCAGAAGCTCCTTCCTGGCATGCTGCTGGTCAGTTCCAGGGTCCTTTGAGTCCAGATTGGGTCAGCCTCACACTGTCCCCCGGCCCAAGGACGTAGTACACAGGACAAATGCAGACACCCCTTGCGGTGCTGCTTAGCCTCCCAAGTGGCAAGCTCTCCCCCCGGTGAGAACCTGCTGGTGGCGTGGGTGGGCTTTGTGCCTCCCCTCACACGGATAGTTAGATTACACAGGCCTTGTCATGCTGGGAGTCTCTGCTGCATTGTCTGTGGGTTTGTGGTTTCTGCTCCAACTTGGGAGTTTCCAGCACGCTGCCACTGCAGCCCATAGCTACACAGGATGCCTTGTCCCCGTAGCCAGCCCCAGGCCCCGGGGTAGTTTTACCAGGTCAGAGAGTAATCCTGCGAACCTTGTTTTCCAGATCGTGCAGTTTGGCATGAATGAGAAGGTCGGGCAGATCTCCTTCGACCTCCCACGCCAGGGCGACATGGTGTTGGAGAAGCCATACAGTGAAGCCACCGCAAGACTGATAGATGATGAAGTGCGAATACTTATTAATGAGGCTTACAAGAGAACAGTAGCGCTTCTTACAGAAAAGAAAGCTGACGTGGAGAAGGTAGGCGCAGCTGTATAAACAATCTCTGTGCAGTGACAGATTGCCTTTTTTCTTTGGTGTCTAGACTCCAGAATTCCCTCTCTGTCCAACCCTTGGGTTCATCCATCTGCTGTTCTGGATCTGTTCTGGATCCACAAGGAATGGAACTGTGATGAGCTGGAGCAGACACTCGCCTGGCTTTAGTGGCTTTGCGTGGAAGCCCTAGGGAGCTGTTAATGAAGTCTGTTGCCTGCTTGGAATTTACTGCTGTTTTTCACTTGTGGAGTAAGTAGGTAGTGAATGATACTAGGGCAAACAAAAGAATCCACCAATTTAGCTAAGTAGGAAGTTGGTAGAGGCGGATTCCCCGGGGCTCGGCTGTGAGCGTCCATGAAGAACGTGCTTTGTTTTTCATGTTGTTCCTCAGCTGAGCCCACCTACAGTGGGGGGCACAGCCTAATGCAAGTGACAGAAAAGCTAATTCTAGAAAATGATGTAGAATCAGCAGGCATTCAGAGAAGCAGGCTGCTGGCGTGCCTGGGACTAGGCAGTTCCAGAAGAATCCGTGCCGTCTGTCACTAAGGTGTCAGGTGTTACCGGAGAGCACCAGTGCCCCTGAAGCACTGAAAGTGTGAAGCAGGGGCCCCAAGGAAGGAGAGATCTGCCAGGAAGGCTCTGGCTAAGCCACAGCTTGACCTGTGCCTTGACGGATTGGTTGGTAAGCAACAATGAAGGAGGGGGAGGAAGAGGAGCCAGGTGGGTAGAGATGCAGAGGAGAGCAGACCCAGTCCTATGTGACGTAATCTTAGAGCAGCTGGGCCGGGCCCCCAGAGCTGGTAGGAAATTGAGGGACAGTTTTAGAAATAGAATCCCGCATTGAGGGCCAGCACTATGGCATAGTAGCTAAGCTTCGCCCATGGCGCTGGCATCCCATATGGGTGTGAGTTCGTGTTCCAGCTGCTCCTCTTACAATCCAGCTCTCTGCTAATGTCCTAGGAAATCAGTGGAAGATGGCCCGGGTGCTTGGGCCCCTGCACCCACGTGGGAAACCCAGAAGAAGCTCATGGCTCCTAGCCTTGGATCAGCCCTGCTCTAGCCATTGCAGCCATTTGGGGAGTAAACCATTGAATGGAAGACCTGTTTGTAACTCTGCCTTTCAAATACATTAAAAAAAGTCCATAAAAAAAAAAAAAAAGAAATAGAAGCCCACTCACTTGTTTTATCATAATCCAGAAATAGAAACCCACTTTTTTATAGTAGTCCAGAAAGGAATCCTTAGGATTAAAGTTTATCATTTTTTTTAAAGATTTTTTTATTTTATTTGAATTGCACAGTTACAGGGGGGAAGAAGAGAGAAAATCTTCCGTCCATTGGTTTGCTCCCCAAATGACTGCAAAAGCTGAGGCTGGGCCAGACTGAAGGCAGGAGCGTGAAACTCCATCCTGGTCTCCCGTGTGGGTGCAGGGGCCCATGTAGTTGGGCCGTCTTCCACTGATTTCCCAGGTGCATTAGCAGGAGCTGCATTGGAAGCAGAGCAGCCAGGACTTGAACTAGCACTCATGGAATTGCAGCATCACAGGCAGTGGTTTAACCCACTGTGCCACAGCATTGTCCCCTTAAAGTTTATCATTTAAAAAGAATGTGGCATCACTAAATTCCTAAAGTTGTACTTATGAAATGCATGAGGTGTGTATTTCTTAAATAAAAGGTTTCTTGGGGGGGTGGGGGAGGGTAAATAAATAAATAATGTGGCCACAGCATACCTACGCAGTCGGACTGCAGAGACCGGTTCAGGGGCTGTGGCAGGCCTGTTTAACATTCGTCAGAAGTTGCTGGTGGTGGCAACAGAAATAAAAGGGCAAAGGCAGATCCGAGAAATCTCAGATTACTGGTTAAATACAGAGAATGAAAGAGAGCCTTCGAGTGGCTGTGAGGCATCTAGCGGCAGCCACAGGTGGGGGCCAGGGCCAGAGAAGAGATGTGAGTGGTCCATGTTCCTGGATGACGCACAGAGGCCAGGCTGACAGGTAGCCCAACGTTGAAAACAAGGCAGTGAGTTCCCTCTGGTTACTAGGTCTGCAGTGATTCGAGAATGAAGTCCCTTGCTCAGAAGAGATGCGGGAGTGGGTCCAGCCTTCCATGTTCCCGGTGCATGCATTGACTGTGTAGCAAAGAACTGTAGAGGGAAGTTGGTTTAATGAGGTGAGGCTCTTGAAACGCTGTACAGAGTCCCAGGTACTTGCTGGTCCATCAGACAGTTAACCATGTGAAGAATAATGTTGAATCAGCCGGGAGACAGGGAGTCCATTAAGAAGAGGGGGCTGCCCCTGGAGCCCTCTAAACTCTGCCAGTTTACTTTGGGTGACAAGGAGTTGGCCAAGCTTCAGAACAATAAGGGTGACTAGTTAGCATTCCTCAATGGCTCTGCCTAAAATTTACTCACAAAAATCAATCTGCAGGCCGGTGCTGTGGCACAGCAGGGTTAAAGCCCCAGCCTGGGGCTGGCACTGTGGCCTAGTGGGTAAAGCTTCCACCTGCAGTGCCAACATCCCATATGGGTGCCACATGGGAGACCCAGAAGAAGCTCCTGGCTCCTGGCTTCAGATCAGCGCAGCTCTGGCCATTGCAGCCATTTGAGGAGTGAACCAGCAGATGGAAGACCTCTCTCTCTCTCTCTGCCCCTCTCTCTGCCTCTCTCTAACTCTGCCTTTCAAATACATAAAAAAAATCTTTTAAAAAATTCTGCAATAGCTTTGTGGTTCCTTCCTCCCTCTCTCCCTCTCTCCCTCTCTCCCTCTCTCCCTCTCTCCCTCTCTCCCTCTCTCCCTCTCTCCCTTCTCTCCCTCTCTCCCTCTCTCCCTCTCTCCCTCCTCTCCCTCTCTCCCTCCCTCTCTCCCTCTCTCCCTCCCTCTCTCCCTCTCTCCCTCTCTCCCTCTCTCTCTTTCTCTCTCTCCCCCTTTCTCTCTCTCTCTCTCTCCTTCCTTCCTTCCTTTCTTCCTTCCTTCCTTTCTTCCTTTCTTCCTTTCTTCCTTTCTCAGAGGTAGAGGAAGAACAGAAAGAAACCTTACATCTGCTAGTTCACTCCCCAATTGCTGCAATAGCCAGGGCTGGACCAAGCCGAAGCCAGGAACCCAAAACTCCATCCAGGTCTTCCACATGGGTGGGCTGTCTGCTGCTTTCCCAAGTGCATCAGCAAGTAGCTAGATTGGAAGTGGAGCACCCAGGACTTGAACCATGTTCATATGGGATGCCGGTGTTGCAGGTGTCAGTTTAACCTGCTATGCCGTAATGCCAGCCCCTGCAATAAAGTTTTTAAAAACAGAAGAAAATTATTCCATTACTTTATATCTTTTATAACAGATATAGTGTTTATTGTAAATTACAGATAGGTTAAATTTCTAAGTAAGGAATTACCTCTATTTGTGAGATAAATTTATGATTTAAACGGTTTACTTTCTAATAGTCAGTGAGCTCACATAAACACTGTTCCTTGGTCTGATGCCAGGCAGTCTTTTTTCCTGTAGCCTTTAGAACATGTGGTGTCAGTGTTGGTTCAGCAAAGGAAATGATCAGAAAGAACTTCAGGATCCCTGTTTTCACACTAACCTTCCTGGTTTCATTTGGGTCCCTGCCTTGTGCTTATCTTGTCTTTTTTCCCTTCTGACTTTTTATTTACTGCTCACCCTATTTTCATTCTTGCCCCCAGCCTGTTTCCTCCATAAAACCACGTAACTTTCTTATGCATGCTCTGAGAATTTACGTATGGAAACACACTGTACAATAGGAACTAGACAAAAATAGTTTACCAGTTGATCTGAGCAAAGACTGATTCATGAGCCAGGCAGCGCCCAGAGCCCCAGGAAGTTCAGAGAGCTCTGCCCCAGCAGTGGGCGCAGCCAGAGACTTCAGGCTGAGCACAGAGGCAAAGACACCACTTGATTGGCTCCTGCTGGGCGTTTCCCTTATTTGGGTGTGATCCAGTGGGAGCGCCGGTACACACCAGATCCGCCCGGTGACTGCCTGTGTTTGCTGATGCTTCATTTAAAGTGAAATCAGTTGTAAGGAATGCCTCTAAGTTACACTTTGCCTTGCTCTGTGAGGGTTCCAGGTATGAAACTACCCCGGGCTAGTGGCCTTCTGATTCTTTTGCTTGAACATCACATAAAAATGAATCCTCCCTCTTTTTAAGAAACAAGCATAGAGCCGGCGCCGTGGCTCAATAGGCTAATCCTCCACCTTGCGGCGCCGGCACACCGGGTTCTAGTCCCGGTCGGGGCGCCGGATTCTGTCCCGGTTGCCCCTCTTCCAGGCCAGCTCTCTGCTATGGCCAGGGAGTGCAGTGGAGGATGGCCCAGGTGCTTGGGCCCTGCACCCCATGGGAGACCAGGAAAAGCACCTGGATCCTGGCTCCTGCCATCGGATCAGCGCGGTGCGCCGGCTGCAGCGGCGGCCATTGGAGGGTGAACCAACGGCAAAGGAAGACCTTTCTCTCTCTGTCTCTCTCACTGTCCACTCTGCCTGTCAAAAATAAAAATAAAAAAAAAATAATAATAAAAAAAAAAAAAAAAAGAAACAAGCATAGCATACTGTACACATTGTGTGTCTTGGTTTTTTCACTGAAGTATGTATCTCTGAGGTTGGTAAGAAAAAAGCCTCCTCCTCCTCCCCAGAGGCGCACAGTCACCGATGAACAGTGTGGCCTCCTGCTACCGAGGGAGAGACGTCGTTTCCAGGACTCTGTCCATCTTCTTCGAAGAGTGTGATCTCATGTGAGACATGTCTTTCAGTGTCTCATCTTTTTGAATGGGTCGCTAAAGTAACCCGATCGCTTTGAATGATTGCTGAGACCTCATTATGCACATGATCACTTCAGGTCGTCTGCGTAGTCGAAAAGAGTATAGATAGCCTCTAGCGTTGAGCCTCCTTCGGCCCCAGACCATTTGCAGAAAAATCTACATACGAAGAATTTGTAGAAGGCACTGGCAGCTTGGACGAGGACACCTCACTTCCCGAGGGCCTGAAGGACTGGAACAAAGAACGGGAGAAGGAGAAGGAGAAGGAGAAGGAGGAGCCACCGGCCGGCGAGAAGATCGCCAACCAGATGCAGGCGTGGAGGCCGTTTCAGTAAGCCCTCCGTGCTGCCCACGCCACCCTGTGTCAGCTGTGGCGCGGCAGAGTGAGAGCCTGCTGGGCTGGTGGTAGCCAGCTGCGGAGCCTGCCCACATGGTGGGGGAGACAAGTGCCTGGCCCTTGACTGCGGGGTGCGGGGCAGCTTTGCAGAGGCCCCCGGGAGACCCGCGCTCCCATAGCCTCAGGAGCTCTCAGACCTGGGCTGGCACAGTGGAGGCAGCCCCGCGGCGCCCGGGTGAAGCGCAGGGGAGACTCGCTGTGGGGCTCGACCGTGCGGGAGAAGCCGTCTTCTCGCTGGCCACTCTTCATTCCTTTTCTCTGTTCCCTCTGCAGATGGGATGTGGAATTAAATCAGAGTCCTGCAAAGAACATTTTGATTTGACTTGTATTTTAAAGATTGAATCCAGATTACTTGTTGCTGTTTTAATGGAATGGTTTTCTACAGAAAGCTGTAACATATTTAAAAATGATTGTATTGTGTAAATACGGCTTCTTTACAGCAGAAATAAAATGTGAACACTGTACTTTTTTTTCTGAAAAAAGAATTGCTGTTCATTGGTGGGATATTTTAGAAAACGTAACGGTAAGAAGTTAGGAATCCTTCCAAGCCTCAGTTGCCAGTTCTCAGCTCCCATGGGGACTGGTAACCTGTGTTCACCTGTCCCACGTGTCTGCTGGGCTCTGGGCGTGGAGTGTGTTGGTCTCAAGGCTTGGTCACCGTGAGAATCCGTGACCGCCCCTTCTGCCAGGTCTTCCCCACACCTGTCTTGCCCCAGTAGTGGTGACACAGTGGGCCTGGAAGTCAGCATGTGGCCCGAGTGGGCCCGGCTGACCGTTCCTAGCCATCGCCGACGTTTCCGAGAAGGGACCGTGCATCTGGATCTCTAGGACCTCACGGGCGTGGTCTCGCTCACTGCTGCAGTGCTCTGTGAAGAGGGAGTTTGTGTGAGTTTCCGCAAAAGCCAGAGCCGGCCCGGAGGCTTCAGGTGCAGACACTCTGGCATTTCTAAGTATTTACCTTTTTTTTTTTTTTTTTTCTTTCCTGAGCTTTATTTATGTTAAAGGCAGAGTTACAGGAAAAGGGAGAGACAGGTCTTCCATCCACTGGTTTACTCCTGAGATGAACACAACAGCTGGGACTGGGCCAGACTGAAGCCTGGAGCTTGGAACTCCAACTGGGTCTCCCATGTGGAGGGGTCCAAGTACCTGGATCATCCTCTGCTGCCCTCCCAGGAACACCAGGGAGCTGGATTGGAGGTGGAGCAGCTGGGACTCAAACTGGCACCCGCATTGCAGCTGGCAGCCCAACTTGCTGTGCAAGATGCTGGCCCAGTATTTTCTCATTTAATGCTATAGCACCTTGCCTGTGTGCTGCTGCTGTGCTGGGGACAGCGGCTTCAGATTGAAGACCCAGAATCCAGTGGCACCTCTGAAGTGGCTCCAAGACAAGGGCAAGGGGCAGCCCAGGCCACACATGCTCCATGTGTGGCCACTCTTCCCCATGGCCTGAGGGTGCCTTGATGGGCCTGAGAAGCAACTGTGTGGAGTCCACAAATCCAGCATTAGCAGAATGGGAGCCTCCCTGAGGCAGTGACTGAGCAGTAACCCGCCTACCTCCCCGTCTCCTCACCACATGCTCCAAGGGAGCTCAGGGGAGCATCGTTTGAAGGCTGTAAGGCCCAAGGGTGTTGAGTGCTGCTCCCCACACAAGCAGCAGACCACTGGGAAACGCTCTCTGTTTACTGGAGCCACTGCAAGGAGAGGCATCAGCATGTGCCAAGTTCTGGCAGGCTTTGGCCGTGTACCTCCTGGGGGTGAGTGGGACCAACAGTGAGTCAGCAGGAAGCTGACAAGGCTGCCTATGGATGGTCAGTGAGGTAGAACCTGGCACCCTTGCATCTCCGGTGAGGGAAGCCACACCTGGGCCCTGGGCCTTAGCCAGCCAGCCTGGCCTGGATCAGCTACTCAGCCCTGCCTGTTTCCTTCCTGTCTGCACCAGGGGTGTGGTGAGGGCTACTTGGCCACCGGGTACCAGGTGAAGCCTGGCCCACAGCAGGTGCCCGTGCACACATCTTGTTCTCTCCTCCAAGATCAAACAGCCTATTTCCAGGATAGACGGGGGTGGAGGGTAGGCTGCTAAGAGGTTCCTTTTTACTGTAGTCTCACAGAATAGTTCAGATTTCTGTAAAATGAGGCCTTGTTTATCTCTAGTCATGCTGCTATGGTAACTGGTAAATTTTGTGTCTGTCCGTAGTTACTGAACGTAAGACCTAGGGTTGTGGAGCATGGTGTTCTGGTTACGTGGGTAACCCTAACTCAGCGGCTCCAGATGACCAAGTTTCATTTGTCTGTTGCTCCCTGTGCAACAAAAATGAGTGGCTCTGCCCAACATGGTTATGCAGGGTCCCAGATGGATACAGGGAGCACAGCTTCCCCACTGGAAGCCACGTGCCATGCTCATTCTTGAAAGTTCACAGCTAACTCCCAGAGGATAGGTGAGTTAGACCAGAGGCACTGGGGAACAGCAACTTGGTCATGTGTTGTGGGGTCTGACTCTGAGGGACCTGTCACGGGTGTGACTGGTTGTGAAAGCCATAGACCGGGGATGAACTAATCACAGAAAAGAGCCCTTCAGCCTCCACGCCAGGCGGGACGCCAGCAGCCCACCCCAGCCCTGTCTGTAAGGCTGGCCGTGCTTCCTGGGGCCCTTTCTGCAAGAACACTGGGGTTCTCCTGCCCAGGCCCTGGCCCTGACCCAGCAAAAGGACTGTGTGGTGGCTGCAAAGGGGAAGAAGGCCAATTCCTTATGCTTGCAAACTTGGGGGCTCAGAGAACTGGCTGCCACCTCTAATAAAGCTGACCTTTTAAGAAAAGTTCTTAAAGCAAAAGCTCTTTTTTAGTGAATGGGGGGGGGGGGCGAAGCTCAGTGATTGGACCTGCCTATAACTACACAAAGTAGCTTGTCAAGGAAGCAGGAGGCTGGAGAGGACCAAGGCACAAGTTGAGCATTTTATTATGAATGGATTGTTTCAAAGTTCCATACTGCATACTCAAATAAGGCAACACTGCACAGCTTCAGTTTTCATCACAAAGGATGAAAAAAAAAATACTGTTTCTAACTCCCCTGCTGATTCTCAGAGGTGGCTGGACACCCAGTGGAAGGTGACACTTCTCTCATTAGCTCTTGTGGCCCCCTGGTTTGTTTCTTTCAAGTCGTCCAGCACCAAACGTGACTGGGTTGGACGGTGGTCAAGTACGTTTCCTTATTCCAGATGGCTGGGAATACGGCTTTGCCGCTGCCGCAAGGGGCCCACACCAACACCCCAAGATCAGTGCACCACGGGGCAGCCGCAGCACAGGCCGCCTGGGGTTGAACGAAGCGGCTTGCACTGCCGGGCCTCGGGCGCAGCTGCCCTACTCGTTGATCTCCTCCTCGTCGTCCTCGAAGGCCTCCTCGCCGTCGTTGGCCGTGGCGTCCTGGTACTGCTGGTACTCGGACACCAGGTCGTTCATGTTGCTCTCGGCCTCGGTGAACTCCATCTCGTCCATGCCCTCGCCCGTGAACCAGTGCAGGAAGGCCTTGCGCCGGAACATGGCGGAGAACTGCTCGGAGATGCGCTTGAACAGCTCCTGGATGGCCGTGCTGTTGCCGATGAAGGTGGAGGCCATCTTGAGGCCGCGCGGCGGGATGTCGCACACGGCCACCTTGACGTTATTGGGGATCCACTCCACGAAGTAGCTGCTGTTCTTGTTCTGGATGGCCAGCATCTGCTCGTCCACCTCCTTCATGGACATGCGCCCGCGGAAGACGGTGGCCACGGTCAGGTAGCGGCCGTGGCGCGGGTCGCACGCGGCCATCATGTTCCTGGCATCGAACATCTGCTGCGTGAGCTCGGGCACGGTGAGCGCGCGGTACTGCTGGCTGCCGCGGCTGGTGAGGGGCGCGAAGCCCGGCATGAAGAAGTGCAGGCGCGGGAAGGGCACCATGTTCACGGCCAGCTTGCGCAGGTCGGCGTTGAGCTGGCCCGGGAAGCGCAGCGACGTGGTCACGCCGCTCATGGTGGCCGACACCAGGTGGTTGAGGTCGCCGTAGGTGGGCGTGGTGAGCTTGAGCGTGCGGAAGCAGATGTCGTACAGGGCCTCGTTGTCGATGCAGTAGGTCTCGTCCGTGTTCTCCACCAGCTGGTGCACGGACAGCGTGGCGTTGTAGGGCTCCACCACGGTGTCCGACACCTTGGGCGAGGGCATGACGCTGAAGGTGTTCATGATGCGGTCGGGGTACTCCTCGCGGATCTTGCTGATGAGCAGGGTGCCCATGCCCGAGCCCGTGCCGCCGCCCAGCGAGTGCGTTAGCTGGAAGCCCTGCAGGCAGTCGCAGTGCTCACACTCCTTGCGCACCACGTCCAGCACCGAGTCCACCAGCTCCGCGCCCTCCGTGTAGTGGCCCTTGGCCCAGTTGTTGCCGGCGCCCGTCTGCCCTACAGGGAGGAAGAGAGAGCCAGTGTGATGCAGGCAGGGGCCGGTGATCGCCGCACCTTCCTCGGCTGCTGGGGGAAGTCGTGTTTGCCACAACCAGAGGAAGCCCCTACAGGCCCAAGGGGCTAGGGAGGGGGGTCGGGCACCCACCAACGGGGCTGAAGGGCGTGAGAGGGTGTTAATACCTAATTTCATACCTTCTGACCTGGCAGTTTCAGTCTTGTTTTTAAACAGGGTGTATTTTCTTTTTGATTTATATTTTTGAGGCAGAGTAACAGGGCAGGGGAGGTGGGGGGCGGGGTGAGAGCAAGAGAGAGCGAGCCAGAGCAAGCTTCCATTTGCTGGTTCACTCCCCAGATGCTCTAAACAGCCAGGGCTGGGCCAGCCAGGACAGGGGAGGAGGAACTCAGCCCACCCCTCCCAGCTGGGTGGCAGGAACTCAAGTACTTGAGCCATCCATCACCTGCTGCCGTGCCGGAGCAGAGAGTGACCTGGAAGTGGAGCTGGGCCTCAAAGCCAGGCAGTGCGGCTGAACTGTGGGCACGTTAATTGTTCAGCTTAATGCTGCCCCAACACGGAGGACTCGCGTGCAGGAAAGAGACTCCAGTTCATGTTTTCTGCATTCTTGCCAGAGAGGCTTATGTACACATCACTGTCCAGAAGACACTTTGAAAGTGAAAGACCGTTTCATTATAAAATTGAAGACGTATGAGACAAAGCATCTTTTTCCAAGCTGTAAAAATAATATAGGCCCAGGGCCAGCCAGTGCCGTGGTGTGGCGGATAAAGCCACTGCCCGCAGTGCTGGCATCCCATATGGGTGCCAGTTCGAGACCCAGCTGCTCCACTTCCCATCCAGCTCTCTGTTATGGCCTGGGAAAGCAGTAGAAGATGACCCAAGTCCTTGGGCCCCTGCACCCATGTGGGAGACCTGGAAGAAGCTCCTGGCTCCTGGTTTCAGATCAGTGAAGCTCCAGCCATTGCAGCCATCTGGGGAGTGAACCAGTGGATGGAAGACCTCTCTCCCTGCCTCCGCCTCTGCCTCTCTGTAACTCTGTCTTTCAAATAAATAAATAAATCTTTAAAAAATAATAATAATATAGGCCTGTGGAGGGGGAGGGAGGTGGGAGGTGGGAGGTGCCCTCCAAACCACCAGGAGGGAGGGCTGGGAGGAGTTTACTTTGCTTTACCTTAGTTTTTGCTTTCCTGGACACAGCAAATGTCTTATAATGCAATGTCCTTCACACACTGCTGTTCTGAATATTTTTTAAACTGCACACCTCTCAAAGCTGACATCTAATTTTTCTTCATAAATGCAACTGGTGTCAAATAATGTACTTTTAATTTCTGGGAGCACTACAAATAATCCCTTTCAAAACCCAAATGTATCATCCTATTAAACGTATCCAATAGAATCTATATAAATACCAGAAAAATCTAGCAAGTTGAAATTTTTTCTTGTTAAAGATTTTATTTATTTGAGAGTTAGAATTACAGACACAGAGAGAGGTGGACAGAGAGAGGTCTTCCACCTGCTAGTTCACTCCCCAGATGGCTGCAAAGGCTGGAGCTGGGCCAATCCAAGCTGGGAGCCTCCTCTGGGTCTTCCACGTGGGTGCAGGGGCCCAAGAACTTGGTCCATCTTCTACTGCTTTCCTAGGCCATAGCAAAGAGCTGGATCAGAAGAGGAGCAGCTGGGACTAGAACCAGTACCCATATGGGATTCTGGTGCTGCAGGAGGAGGCTTAGCCCACTGTGCCACAGCACTGGCCCCTGAAGTTGTTTTCAAACTCCTATGATTACATACAAGATATTTAAGAATGGTATCTATGCACCGGTGCTGTGGTGTAGTGGGTTAAAGCCCACACAGGTGCCGGTTCAAGTCCCAGCTGCTCCGCTTCCGATCCAGCTCCCTGCTAATGCGCCTGGGAAAGCAGTGGAAGATGGCCCAAGTGCTTGAGCCCCTGCACCCATGTGGGAGACCCAAGAAGAAGCTCCTGGCTCCTGGCTTCAGATCAGCTCAGCTACAGCTGAGCTGGGCCATTTCGGGAGTGAACCAGAGGATGTTAGATCTTTCTCTCCCTCTCTCTGTAACTGTACTTCTCAAATAAATCAAATCTTTTTTTAAAAAAAGATTGGTATCTATCTATCTATATATATATTAATTAGTTCATCTATGCAAAGGTGAATAGTAATTATTGCCGGGATGGGACAAGGTTTGGCATCAGTTCCAGTTCTCTTTTTTTACATAAAAACTGAAAAATCTTATTCACATACACATGTAAATGGAATGAATTATGTTCTAACAATGCCATTCAGTTACTTGACCTTATTCTGAGTTATACGCCAAAATTCAAATAGCAATCTACTATCAAAAACTATTTTTAACCATCTATTAGCCAACAACTCAAATTCGCAGAAAGCAGAATTAAAAAGAAGCTGACTTGCAAAATAATGCATCACATTATTTACATCCATCATTCTTGTCTTGTTTCTGGACGCACACCAAGAAGGCTTTGCCAAGACTTAGTAAACACAATCTCACTCTTTCACTTGAAGGCAGTCTGTTTATTCCATCACACTTGGAGACACAGAGAGAACGAGGAACAGAGTAAAGGTCCCACCTGCTGGTTCACACCTCAGATGCCTACAGCTGGGAGCAGGGAACTCAATCCAGGTCTCCCTCAGGGGTGGCAAGAACCCAATCACTTGAGCCATCACCACCACCTTCCAGGGTCTGCATCAGCGGGAAGGCAGAGCTGGGTATCAAACCCAGACATTCTGATAGGAATGCACGCATCTGAGCAGCTATGCCAAGTGCCCACCACAGTTTCATTTTTAATATATTCTCGATAAATATTTAGGTTGCAGATTTAGCTTTTTCAAGTGATTAAAACCTGCATTGCCTTGTACAGACCTGTCCGTGCCTACTGCAAAGACAGCAACCTGACCTCTGTCTGCACAAGTCTGGTGGCAGCAGTTCACACGCACCATCCAGAGGCCTGCCTCTCTGATCCGGGGGGAGAGGTCCATCCCTGATGCTATTCCCACCCACGGGGGTACCGAGCTAAGGCACCCCAAAACCACCACGGCCACCAGGTGCCACATCAGGTCAGATAAGCCACCATTCATTTCTGGATCCCAACTAGCAGACCTGAGCCTCTGGGCCATTCCCCGCTCACCCTGAGGTCTACTGACCACACCCAGGTTCTGCAGTGCACAGCAGGTACAGCCTTGCACAGGGGCTCCGCCCCACCCTTGGGGGAATGAAGCACTTATCCAGTGGAGGCCAGTAAAGCAAGAAAACAACCAAATTCTTGCCTCTTCAGTAGGTTTACAAAGTACTGAACTACTAGTAACTTGGATCGCACGCAAAGGGACGCCCAGCTTAAATATCTACAGTTCTACCGATCAGTTAGGAATCCACAGTCACCAGTGGGAAAACGGGCAAAGGATACAGGCAGTGCCCAGGAAAGTCAAATAACGCAACTTTCTCAGAAGGGAAATGCAAATGAAAACAAGGAGATCCTATTTTCCTCCTTGAAACTGATGCAGATCAAAAAGCTCACTACCTCTGTGCCAGTGGGAAAAACTCCTTCACATCCCACAGCGCCTGGGGGATCTGAGAGGTCTTGGTATCTGGAGAACACTTCGCAGTTCCTATCAGAATTAATCCCCTTGGATCCAGCAATTACACTGCTGTGAGTTTTTCTAGATAGACCCACCCATGGGCACAATGACATAGGTACAGAGAAACAGTCTGAAAACAAAAAACATCCCAGATAATAACAGGACTGGGTAAATCCATGATGGTGTCAATTCATAGGAATGCTGTCAGCCAGCAATGAAGGGAGACCCCACCCTAATGAATAGGGTTCACTGTAGGCTGCTACTGTACGTGTGTAAAATTCATGCAGCTACTTCTGCATGCATACTTCAGAAAGCTCATGGGGAAATGGAATTAAAAACTTATTTTGGTGCAAAAAAAATCTGAACTCCATGCATAGTTTTTCTATTGTATTTATTTCAAAGACCCCTCATATACATGGATCTCAAAATGTTTTGCCTCAAACACCATTTAACCTAACAGTTAAGATGCCCACATCCCACATCAAAGTGTACTGGTTTGGCTCCTGGCTCCAGGTCCTGACTCCAGCTTCCTGCTAAAGCAAACCCTGGGAGGCAGCAGTGATGGCTCAAGTGACTAGTTCCACATGGGAGACCTGGATTGCATTCCCAGCTCCTAGCCGGTGCAGTCATTTAAGAAGTGACCCAGTAAACAGGAGTTGCCCCTCTTTCTTTCTCTCTGTTGCTGTTCTCTGCTTCCCAAATAGATAAATAAAAAAAATTTTTTAAGATCTATTTATTTTGAAAGAGTTACAGAGAGAGGGTTCACAGAGAGAGTGGTTCACTCCCCAGATGGCTGCAATGGCCAGCGTTGTGCCAGGCCGAAAGCCAGGAGCTTCACCCAGGTCTCCCACATGGGTGCAGGGGCCCAAACACTTGGGCCATCTTCCTTGAGTTTTCCCAGGCCATTAGCAGGGAGCTGGATGGGAAGTGGAGCAGCTGCAACATAAACCGGTGCCCAGGTGGGATGCCAGCATCACCGGTGGCAGCTTTACCTGCTAGGCCACGACATCAGCCCCAAACTTACAGCTTTTCTCTACCAAAATTGTCTTCTAATTCCATTTCTCCACACATGTTGAAATCCCTGTGTGTGGGCAGGATACACCTGGAAGGGTGCGCAAGAACCTGGTGGTGTTTGCCTTGGGGAAGGTCCTGGATAAGGGCTGAGGACACTCTTAACACCCTTTTGTTCTTTTTGGATCCTGTACCCTGGCAGTACTTGACCTCACTATCTAGCAAAATGAAAACATGCTGACTTGTATTACAACATTTAAAATACAGTCTTTGAACAATGGGATCACAAGGGGGTTCTTTTCAGCATTACATAATGCTTATAAAATTTTAAGTAGTCAAACATACTAATCAAAGGGAAGCTGAGAAAGGGAAAGTCAGAGATGAAAGCATACTTTTAAGGACACTTAAATGTCATCAGTAAGTAGGAATTACTAGTTAATGACAAATAAAATGGACAGCACTGTGACCGTCATGGAGAGCATCCTGGATGTATTGCTGAACTTCTCAGAAGGCTGCAAAACACTTTGTGGAGCATGATCTCATTTCCTAAAAACAAAATCACCTCTGTGTGTGTGCGTAGAAAAAAGTCAGCAGGTCACACCCCAACCACTCAGGGCCCTTGGCTGTCCCCCTGGGGAACAAAGCTTAGGGGCCATCCGTGGACAGGCTGGGAGGCTTCCATTTTTATACTCTATTCTTGTGCGTTATTTGAGAAAGCATTGCATGATCAATTATTTTACCTTTGTAATGCAAACATGAAACATGTTTAAATATTAAAGCACCCAAAACTGACTACAGCAGGCCACACAGGACTGATTCAGCTCCACTCGGGGAGGATGACGTGCAATGGTCATTGTCCTTCCTAGGTCCACCCCTGCCCCACCCAACCCAGCAGGCAGCAGCCTGGCCAGACCTCAACACTGGCACTGGGTTTCATCAACCTGGGGCTAGCCTCATACTTAGAGCTGGCCTTGTACCTGGAGCTCAGGGTAGAACTATCACACCTTCACATAGGAAAGGCTGTGAGTGCAGCTGTCGGAAGAGGTTAGAACTGACTAAGACGGCAGAAACTGACAACTGAAAACAGTAGGTGACTTTGGGCAGACATAAAACCCCACTAGATCAAACCCACCGTGGTTGCTAAATGTCCTAACGCTGAACCTGACTTTCCCTATCTCCAACTCCCACCAGCTACTTGTCTTCCTGAAGCTCTGTAGCCCCATTAGCTGTTACTTTTCTCACTCAGGTTTTCTCTGCTCTGAGCAAAAGGAGGAAGCTTGGTGACTTCTGAAAATATTTTGCTACTGTCTCATAGCAACAGACATTCCCAGTTAAATATTTGGGGGTCATAAGTTGAACGTCTTCTGCAGTGATGTGTGTGGCATTAATCATGACTCCAGATTATGACACATCGGCTGCAGATCGCCAGGCGCTGGCAGTCATCTGCCACAGCCCCTCAGGGTTTGCTCTGGTAGCGCCCCAACCCACACCGGCTGATGGATGAAGTCTTAAGGCTGCACACCCTGGTGCTCCCTCCTCCAGCCCTGACTGTGGAAGAAACTATTACAAACACAGAAAAGAGGCTTAAAGCAAAGTTCATCTTCCTGGTGCTCAATCCCCACCCCACCCCCAACACACACACACACACACACACACACACACACACGCAAAACTGCAACAGCGTAACAGGTATGGCAGCTATGCCACCAGCAACTCTTTAAAAAAAAAAGTTTTACGAAGTACAAGGATACTTCAAAAAGTGTATGGAAAAAAATAGAGTGAAAAGGTAAGTTTATTTTGGTGCAAAAAAAAAAAGTTAAAATCCATGCATAGTTTTTGCATAATGTATTTTCCATGAGGTTTTTGAAGATCCTGTGTATATCTATGTTGTCCAAAACTCACATAGGTAACTAATTTTTTTTTTTTGACAGGTAGAGTTATAGACAGCAGAGGGGAGAGCGAGAGAGAAAGGTCTTCCTTCCATTGGTTCACTCCCAAACGGTCGCTACGGATGG